TTCCATATAAACAAAATCGACAATATTTGAATCTTTTAAAACGATTTTTTATCTCTTAAAGACAATTTCTTTTGAAAAAAAATCTTTGGGTTTGTTTCTCTTGAAAAAAAATCTTTGAGTTTGTTCCTCTTGAAAAAATCTTTGAGTTTGCTCCTTTTGAATAAAAATCTTGGAGTTTGTTCCTTTTGAATAAAAATCTTTGAGTTGTTTCTTTTGAAAAATATCTTTGAGTCTATTTATTTTGAAACAAAGTTTTGTCTCTCTTGAGACAATTTCGTGAAAAATCTTTGAGTCTGAAACAAAGTTTTGTCTCTCTTGAGACAATTTTGTGAAAAAAATCTTTGAGATTGTTTCTTTTGAAAAAATCTTTGAGTTGGTTTCTTTGGAAATAAAATTTTGTCTCTCTTAAGATAATTTCTTTTGAAACAAAAATCTTTGAGTTTGTTTCTTTGGAAACAAAATTTTGTCTCTCTTAAGATAATTTCTTTTGAAAAAAAAAAATCTTTGAATCTGTTTCTCTTAAAATGAATTTTGTGTCTCTTGAGACAGTTTCTCTTGAAGTAAATCTTTGAATATGTTCATTTTGAAAATCTTTGAGTTTGTTTCTCTTAACAAAATCATCTTTGAGTCTATTTCTTTAAAAACAAATGTTGTCTCTCTTGAAACAGTTTCTAATGAAAAACTAACTTTTGAGATTGTTTCATTTAAAACAAATTTGGTCTCACTTAAGATGTAATCCATCTTTGAGTCTGTTTCTTTTAAAACAAAATTTTATCTCTTAACGACAATTTCTTTTGAAAAAATCTTTGAGTCTGTTTCTTTGGAAACAAAATTTTGTCTCTCGAGACAACTTCTTTTGAAACCACCCACATTTTAGATCGTTTCTATTAAAACAAATTTTGTTTCCCTTGAGGCAGTTTCTCTATAAATATAAAATCTTTGAGTTTGTTTCTTTGGGAACAAAGTTCACCATCTTTGAGTCTGTTTCCTTTGAAACAAAACAAACAAAGTCTTTGAGTATGTTTTTCTTAAAACAAAAAAACATCTTTGAGTTTGTTTCTCTCGAAACACTAATCTTTGAGATCAATTCCCTTTAAACGAATTTTGTCTCATTTGAGACAATTCCCTTTAAACGTCATCTTTTGAGTTGTTTCATTTGAAACGAATTTTGTCTCTTTCGAGACATTTGCTTTTGAAACACATTATCTTTGAGCTTGTTTTTCTTGAAACAAAATTAATCTCCTTTGAGACAATTTTTATCAAAATCCAATTTTTGAGTTTGTTTCTATTGAAACACATCTTTGAGTTGGTTTCTCTTGAAACCATAGCTCCTAAAGATGGTCAGCCGTCCTCATCATGTAGGAACCGTGTCATCCCCAGACCAGATTTCCTTATCACGTAGGAGCCGTGTCAACCATAGATAACCAGCCGTCCTCATCACGTAGGAACCGTGTTATCACCTTTAGATGGCCATAACTCTTCATCACGTATGAGCCGTGTCATTCCCAGACCAGATCTCCTTATCACGTAGGAGCCGTGTCAACCATAGATAACCAGCTGTCCTCATCACGTATGAGCCGTGTCATTCCCAGACCAGATCTCCTTATCACGTAGGAGCCGTGTCAACCATAGATAACCAGCCGTCCTCATCACGTAGGAACCGTGTTATCACCTTTAGATGGCCAGAACTCTTCATCACGTATGAGCCGTGTCATTCCCCGACCAGATGTCCTCATCACGTAGGAACCGCGTTAACCTTAAAACGACCCGAACTCTTCATCACGTATGAGCAGTGTCGTCCCCAACAACCAAAATTATCTAATTTCTAAGGGAGAGAACCAGACAAAAACATGATGTCTTGTCGTCTTTGCCCTATTCTTGTTAACACAAGAATGGGCAAAGAGGGGCAGCTGTAGACACCCGTTTTTGTCCGGGTCTTTTTTATTATTATTTATATATATTTATTATTATTTATTATTATTATTATTATTATTTATTATTATTATGTTTATTAATTACATATTACAATTTTTGTAGGCCACTAAGCCCAGATTACAGAAGGTCCATTCCCGGAGCCCAACTAGCTAAACCTAATGGCCCAGTACCCTGAACCAACCCATCAGATTAGGGTTTTAAACCCTAAAACAAATTAGGGTTTTAACCCTAATCCCCTAATGGCAGCCGCCGACTTCAACTCCTCAGCTTCCCAGCCATGAGCCAATCACCGAGCCACCAAGCCGAGATGTCCTGTCGCCACCGACTGTTCTCCTGCATGAATAGTGACCGAACATCCACCTACAGTGACACCTACAGTGACCAAATCAACCAAAAACCAAACCCCAAATTAAAATACCAATAAATCCCTAAATATTCAGGATTTATATCTTGCAAAATCAGAGAAAGCCATGGGCTATTCTAGACATCATCATCTCACCAAACGAAGCAAAAATCAACCACATGCAAAGCAAGATAAAAGGAAGGAAGCAAAGAGAATAGGGAGAGAGGCGGTGATAACAAAAAAAGAGAGAGGCATTCGGGTTCAGAGAAAGAGAAAAAAAGAAAACAAAAAAAAAACAGAAGATAGAAAAAAAAGAGAGATTCGAAACAAAAAAAAAGAGAACAGGGGAGGAGAGAATCTCACCGTGGGTTAGATACTAGTGGGGGGAACGTCAAAGGTCGCTGGAGTCGTTTTGCCGAGAGATAAACCTCGAAGATCTAGGGTCCTAGAGGTCTTTTTAGGGTAAAAGGAGTTGAGATCGGGGTTGAGAGTTGAGAGAGGAACGCTCTGGGGTTTTTTTAGCTTCCTCCGGCCGCCGCCGCCACCGCTTGCCACCACGAGCTCCGCCGTGGCTCCATCTCCTTGACGAGGAGAGGTTGAGAGATTTTAAATCTCTCTTTCCTCTCTGTTTTGGCTGAAGGCAAGCAAATGAGGAGAAGTGAGTGACCTAAGCCCGATTTTGGGCTTATATTATTCAACCAAAACGGCGCCGTTTCAGCAAGGGACCTTCAGCGTGTTTTATCTTGTGGGGTAACTACAGTTTAGGTCCCTCCTCGTATGTAATCTGTTATTTTGGTCATTAATAAAAATTATGATCTTTTACTTTGGGCATTTATCTTTCGATATTTATGATTTAGCCACTGAGTTCATGAATTTGAATATTTTCCTTGCTATTTCGAGTGGCCATGATATTTATGTTTCTTACATTTTAGTCACTGATTCTGTGTTATGTTTTTTATGTTCGAATTTGGAAGCAATATTTGTAAATCAATCATTTTAGTCACTGGTAGCTTGTGTTGTGTATTTTTGTTGACATTTGAATCTGGTCATATCATTTCTAAATATTTTATTTTAGTCACTGCTTCACTTTTGGTTTAATTATTAGTCGGTCTTAATGTTTTGTTTTAATTCATTTTAGTCCTGTATTATGTCTTTTAAATGTTTATATATCTAGCTGTTAATTTCATGTAGTTTTCATTTTGGTCATCAAGTAATGATTTATATTTATTCTATTTTGGAGTTAATATTTTATACCTTTTTCATTTTGATCCCTATTTGATCACTAGTGTGCTTTGGGCAAATACTTTGTTTTGAGCCCTGATTTGTGATTTATTTCATCTTAGTCACTAATTTTATATATGGTGTATTTTCTTTGATGTTTTGATTTGGCCATGTCTTTTGTAGGATTTTTATTTTAATCATTGTTGGGCTTTTGGTTTAAGTATAGTTTGATCCTTTATCGTCCTGTTTATCTCATTTTGGTCACTAACAATATTTATGAGCTATTTTCATTTTTAACACCGGTATTATTTAATATGTGCAATTTGAACTATGGATTACTTTTTAGCCCTGTTAGTTTATGCTTTTACTAATTTAATCCATTATGTTTATGTATTTCTATTTTAGCCCTATTAATGTATGTTATGTCATTTTTGTGGATATTTGACTTTAGACCCAATGTTTGTAATAGTTTCGTTTTAGTCTCTGATTTCATATGATAGATATTTTGGTTGATGTTCGAATTTATCCCTGATATTTATGAATATTTTATTTTAGTCATTTATGTATGATTTTATTGTACTTGTTATTCGGTTATTTGTATTATGTAAATAATGTTTCATTTAATGTAAATATTTTATCTTGTATTTGCAATTACATTTGTTTATATTACGTTTTTATCCATGAAATAATTTTTGATTTTATTTTCAAGTACGTATGCGTAGAATGAGCGTGGAAAGTACCACTTGATCGAAGTGGTGTGATCCGGTACGGCATTTTAACGACATAGAAACTTGAAATAAGTCGAGTATATTTTGCTAATTAATTTGTTCAAACGATGCGATGTGTGTTATTTTAAGTAGTAATTTATTTTATTTTATGTAAATGTCAATTTCAAATTTTGCAGTTGTATTCAATTCACATTTTAGTTAATCAATTTATTTTGTTGTATGCAAACATCAATTTTATTTATATTCGATTCACATTTTATCAAGAGGGAAATATTCTTTATGGATGAGAAATAGTCGAGTTAGCTTTCCCGATGGAGGATTGCTAATTTCGAGATTTCTTTTCGAGTTAAAGAATTTTCTCTAATTATTTAATTCGAAGCAAATTAATCAACGTTCGATAAATAGATCATATTTTAACTTTATATTTGATTTATAATTTCCACCATTTACAACGATGTGTAAGCGACACAGTACCAATTTTGGGCGTTGTGGGGGGTGTTTACCCTTCCCCGCACGTAACCGACTCCCGAATCCATTTAAATGAATCTTTGGTAACGCAGACCGAATCTTGTCTTAAAAAATGATTTTTCTTAAAATTGTTTTAAAAGACGTTTTTAGGTATTCGACCTACCTAACCCAAAGGTTGATGGCGACTCTTTTTAATTTTATTCAAATCAATGCAAAATCACCCATTTTTTCCAAATTAAAGTCATAATTGTTTTTAAAAATAATATTTAATAGTTCCACCTAAAAAAATGGTTATGACATGTAGATGAGGTAGACAGCATGCTCGGTCAGAGGACTCGAGTCGGAGAGCACGAAGCTATGCGGAAGATCAAAAACGAGTTCATGGCTCATTGGGAAGGGCTCTTGACGAAGACGGGTGAACGCATCCTCGTCCTCGCTGCAACCAACAGGCCGTTCGACCTCGATGAAGCGATCATTAGGCGATTCGAGCGAAGGTACTTATACTCACTGATTTCGGCAAATTATGTGCTTTCATATTAATACTTGCTCGTTTAAGCAGAATCATGGTGGGGCTTCCAAGCATAGAGAACCGGGAAAAGATTTTTAGAACTCTTCTGGCCAAGGAAAAAGTAGACCAGAATGTCGATTTCGCAGAGCTTGCTTCCATGACTGAAGGATATACAGGAAGTGACCTCAAGGTATCGTAACGTTTTTCAAGCTCAAGCAACACCGCAAATATCATCCGTCACATAAAATCATAATTATCTTTATGAAATAAATCATGCCGTAATGTCCGCAACACCCGCTATCGCGACCTCAGTATATTACTATGTTACAAATAGTAGAAATATAATCACTCTCCCTTGTTGTTTTAAACCAGAACTTGTGCACAGCGGCTGCTTATCGTCCGGTCCGGGAGTTAATAAAGCAAGAGAGATTGAAAGATCAGGTAAGTTGTTCACAAGTGAATGTCAAATACAGATGTATTCTCATGCATATTCAAACAATCAATTTGCAGAAGAGAAAGAAGAAAGAAGCAGAAGGGAAGAACTCGGAAGGGTTGTCCACTAAAAACGAGGCAGGGGAAAGAGTTATTACCTTGAGGCCATTAAATATGGAAGATTTAAGGGAAGCCATGAATCAGGTAAACCTCACATAATCAAAGTAATTCCATTGTAATGTTACAGTTAGGGACGTAAATGAGACGAGACGGATGGCTAGTTATTTGAGTTTAATTCGGTTGAAGTTTTATCAACTCTCGAATTAAATGGCTCGACTCGGACTCGAGTTCTTAACTAGTTGATACAAACTACTTGATACCTGACTCGAAAAGCTCTTGAGCAACTCAAAATGATAATATTACATTTTTAATTTTAAATATTAATATTTATATATTGTTCTTTTAAATACAATATAAGGATTTTATATATTTTAGGTCCGAGTTTAAATTGACTTTGAGTTTGAGCTTTAATCGAGTTAAATATAAGAAGTTTCAATTTCGAGCTAAAGTTTTTTTGAGTTCAAGTCTAACTCCAATTTTTTTTTTATTTCGAGTTTGAATCAAATTTAACAATTTAAGCTCGTGAGCTTTCGATTCGAGTATCAATTTGCTCTTGAGTCATATATGTATATATATATATATATAGCTCGTGAGCTTTAGAGTCGAATCAAACTTCAATTTATAATTTCGAGTTCGAGTCGAGTTTGACAACTTTTAACTCACGAGTTTACAACTCGAGTCGAGATTCAATTTGTGATTTCGAGTCCGAGTCAAATTTGACTATTTTAAGTTAACGAACTTTCGAGTCAAACCTAACAATACTTAAGCTCACCTCGACCCGGTTACAATTGCAAAAGGTCTAGGGAAATACTCTACCTTGTGTTTTCCATTTGAGCAGGTGGCAGCTAGCTTTTCTTCGGAGGGAGCCGGACTGAATGAGTTAAAGCAATGGAATGATTTATACGGGGAAGGGGGTTCCAGGAAGAAGGACCAGTTATCCTACTTCCTATGAGATGCTCAACACTTATGAATACACTAACAGTCGGTGACGGATCGAGAAATTAAAAAATAAGGTCCAAAAATTTAATTACTTTTTTTTAATATAACGGGTATGCAAAATTTCTTATTTTTTTCCTTCTTTCTTTAATATATTGAATTATATTTAATATCTAATATAAAATAATGAATATGCATTTGATCTCCTACGGGGCTATGTGCATCCACCCCTGCTAATAGTGGTGTTGTTTTAGTTTTACAAGTCATAAAATTTTTCGCAACTTTTTTAGTTTTAAGCTTTAAACGTCCAATATTAACTTTTCGGTTACAATCGAAAATGTTATGAATTTGGGAGTACTTTGAACTCATTGTATAATGCATAGTGAATATGTTCGGATCTTATAACATCATAATTTTATAATATGTTCGTTTATAGACTTCATATTCTCGAAATTTTATAACTTTGTACTCTGAAATTTATAATATAATCTTTTAGATTTACGCTCTTTATATAAAATTATATGTTCGTCCTAATAATATACAAATATGTTTTGGATTGTAAATATTGAATACTGAAAGTAACAAAAATAATTATCTAAGCAAAGTAGGTAAAAATTTATTCTATTACCACTTTTTTTTTTACAGCACAGGTCTGGGAAATTTAGCAGATGACACACGAATTCGGGTTTTCTTCGGCACTTACGACTCGGTAAGGCATAGTCATGTAAGGGTTATAGGCCTTGTAAGCCTCAACAAGCTTAGCAATCTGATCACTCTCCTTCTTTTTATCATCTTCCGACTTCTTTCCGCCGCCGCCGCCGCCTTCATCTTTCTTGGCTCCGCCGTCTTTTTTCTCTTCTTTGGCCGGCCCGACCGTTAAAATCTCGGTGTGCCATTGTTTTCTTAACTTGCCCACAACGTGAATCGGGTCAACGTCTCCGACCACCGTCAGCTTCTTGTCCTTCATGTCCATCGCAATAGAATCGATACCTACACGAGAAAAGGGGCAGCAGCCGATGGTATTAAACAAACATTACAGAACCAGAAAAGATGTTTTTTGATTCGGTACCTGAGAGACCAGAAACAGCTTTCATGGCTTTCCGTTTATCTTTGCCATCGTGTACATCCAGTTTCAAAACAACTTTCTGTAAGAAAAAGAAAACAAGAATCAGACAGAAACATAAGTGAAGATCGAATATCTTGGTAAGAAAAACTTGGAGGAAACTAAGATGGAAGGGAATGAAATTCTTGACCTTCATGGCACAGCAAAGTAATGATTGATGTGATCATAGAAACCATCTACACACGCAAATTGTAAGACGATATATAATAAGTGACAAACTACGTACCATCGGAAAATCAAAGTGAATAAAATTTTATTTTATTTTATTTTATTTTAAAAAATATTGGATTTTGAGTTAAAGGTTATAAAATAAAATTCGGATAATTTTAATAATAATTTATTGTTTTAATTAGTGAATTAATTTTTAAATTAATCATTGATATATAGAGATGGATCAAGGGGACGGGTGCAACAGTCGCCCCTGAAAATTTAAAATTATAATACATTTTAGATTTTTTTTTCTTTATGATTCAAACTCCTAACTTTGCTTAAAGAATTTAGTGTCTCATCCAAATAGACTAACTAGTTGTTGGTGATTGATTTTCAAGTTTGAGTTGAATCTCTTAATCAGTGATTGAAATATCGGCCGGATAATGGTATAGCGACCGCTATGGCATCTGAGCCCAACATCACGGAAAATAGCGGTGTGAAGAGGAATCACACCAATAGTGGAGGGTCGCGGTTGTAATTTAACGGATAGCGAGCAATCGCGACAATAGTGGATCGCCATTCCGCTATTTTAATTTAAAAATTAGTTTTTTTTTAAATCAACTCGTTTGGAAAAAAATTCATGATCGCAATACTCGCAATGACCGCAATAACATCCGTTATATATCCGCAACAACGATAAACAAAACGCGACCGAAAACGCGGCCGCAATTGCAATTTAAATCCCTACTCTTAACCCTGAATGACATAGGCATATCACATATAAAAATATGAAGAAATATATGTATATTGTATATGGTTATAGAAATTCATTTAAATCGAAATTAAATAGTACTGTAATATTATAAATATTTACAATTAAATTTAAACAGAGACTCGAATCATTCAGCTCGACCGAATTTTATAATTTTGAATAAAAAATTCAAATAAAATTTGAGTTATAAAATATAACTCTTCAATTCAAATAACTTCAACTTTTTTTAACTTGATGCGACTTGATCGAACGCTCATCCCTAATTTCCATTACCATATATTAAAAATTCAATTTATTAATTAATTTATGTGATCGATGATCGGATTGGTTATACTTTAAGTCGATCAATTATTTTTATATTAATTCAGTTTTCAATTGTTATACTGAACTAATTTAGAACATATTAAATCAATCTAAGTATATTTTAAACTCAACTTGTATGGACTGACGTTATCTAATCGAACGATCAACATCGTTGACGGCAGATTTGAAGAAGTCAAATACTTTGGTTTGGTTAAATTCTTGGGTAAACTACGCATTTAGTACACAAACTCTTAATTACTTTTTGTCTGTTTTAGTATCTAAACTTTTAAATTTTTAAAATCATACCTAACGTTTAGTTCTTATTTAATTTTAGTACCTAAACTTCCAATCTTTTCAAAACTTGACGTTAAATTTTGAACAGGTGTACTAAAAAAAACAAAAACTAAAGTTTTTAATAACGAGTACTAAAATGAAACAAAAACTAAACTTTATATATGGTTTTGAATAAATTAAAAGATTAGGTAATAAAATAGACTAAAACTAAAAGTTTAAGTACTAAATGCATAATTTATCCTAAAATTCTTTTTGGGTAAACTACATAAATGGTCTCTTAACTTTTAGAATGCTTTCATTTTGGCCATCAAGCTTATAAAACTTCCAACAGAGTTGCAAGTTTTAAAGGTTTAGTAACCAAATTATAATCGCCCTAAAATTTCAAGGGACATTTATGAAGTTTACCCATTCTTTTATTAGCTCTATACTATACAAATTTAGCCATTATGTTCTAATTTATTTATTTTAATCCTGATTTTTTTAAAGAAATATAAAATTTGCTTAAAAAGTGAAAGGGTTCAACTTTAAAATATTTTGACATGTACATTGGCATAATAAATTAGGTGTGTGGGAATAGTCCAAACATATATGGTGTTGTATGATGTTACATGGGATTCAAGTTAAACCTGGTGAAGAGAGAAGTTAACATGACTTTATAAAGAGAAAAAAACAAGTTTATTTTAGGGTTCATTATACGGATCATCATTTATATTTATGTTTTGTCCATTTTTTGTCACTGATTTCAAAATATAAATTTAACTTTCGCTCTTATTTAATTAAAATGTGGCCATCACGAGTTAATTGTCGTTAAATATTTTGGTATAATCACACATTTGATATCTGTTATTTATATATTCTCTCAATGTAGTCATACTTTTAATAAATTTATTCCAATCGAATGATGCTACTGTCATTGGTACCATATGTTGTGTCATGTGTTACCATTCGATTAGAAGACTAACTTTATTTTATTTTAATTTAACAAAGCAAAGCAAATTGGTGAAAAATAAATATATTAAATCAAAATAAAGTTAGTCATCTAACCGAATGGTGACACGTGACACGAAATATGATACCAGTGACACGTGACACGATACATGGTACCGGTGAGACGTTACATCATTCGATTGGAGGATTAAATTTATTTTAATTTATTAAAAGTATGACTAAATTGATAAAACATATAAATAATAGGGATCAAATGTGTGATTATACCAAAATATAACGTCACTTAATATTTTAACTGTTGTCGACAGTTAACCCTTGGTGACCTCATATTAAATAAATAAAAATTAAAATAACTATATCTTAATTAAATAAAAACAAATGTGATCATACCTTATGTATATTTTGAAATCAGTGGCCAAAAGTGAACAAAACACAAACATAAGTGATCACCTGTGTAGTTAATCATTTATTTTATTAGTTTGAGGTGATTATAAGATAATATTTATTCGAAAAAATTTTAGGAATTAACGTGTAACCACTCTTACAGATGTTGTGCTCGAAAAACCCAGAATCTCTATAAAAAAAATAAACATCCCTTTAATCACAAAAATCACCGCAGAAAAAACACAAATTAATATAACGTGGGACTAATTGTCTTTTATTATTTATTTAATCCATATTTTAGTTAAGGACGGCACCTCATTTCACAGCTGAAGTTGATATCTGGGGGGAGATGATGTTGATTTGTGGTTGTTTTTTTCCTCTTTTTTAATTGAGGGAAAGAAAACCATTTGATGTAATCTATATGCATGAGAAATATCTTCCATAATTTAATAAGGAGAAAAAATGGCAAATTCCTCAAATAGTGTGTGTTTTTTTTAATTCTCTTATATTGTATTGAGAGAATTATTTTTTATCAGGTGTCAATGTTACGATTCATGTCGAAAGATGTTTAGACGACACAACAATTTTGAGAAGACATTCGGATGATACAATAACTTCCCTCAAACTGCATGTATGTTCACAAACCGATAACACCACAATCTTTTAAAGTCGTCGAGTGATCCGTACGTCTTTTTAAAGTCGTCATGTCATCCGGGCGTATTTCGACATGTACTATAACATTCACACTATATAGAAAATAATTTATCGACGCCTTATATAACATACGGGGACATAGCTCTGTTGAGGCCTAAAGGGGCTCCAGCCCCATAAAAAATTTGTATATTCGATAAATTTTGGTCTAATAGTATTTTGGTTCATGTGAAAATAAGTATTCAAATTGAAAAATGCTTAATAGAAAATAAGTACTCAAACTATACCGCTTTTCCGAAATAGGTGTCCAATTTTTTTGATTCGTCTAGGTGCCTAATGTTACAAAAATTACCATTTTAGGTGTTCGGGTCGTAATGGTTGTTAAAAAATTACGTTAATTGCCACATGTCACGTTCTGGTAAATTTAAAAATTTTATTTTTAATTTTTTTTAAAATATTATATTTATAAAAAATCTATTTTTTCTAAAATTATAAAAAGGTAACAAATCCTTAAAAATATTAATTCCCTAACTCTAACCTTCCTTGTCGGCCACGATTGCCGTCGCTGATGCCGCCCTTGTCATCTCCCTTAACGGTTGTCGTCTCGTTTGCCATTGTGCGCATCGTTGAATCTCCTAGGTGTCGCGAATTTGGAGGTTTGAATTCGCTGGAGATGTGGTTTTGGGCGTTTCGATTTTGTCATTCCTTCGTCGAAAACGCGATGTTGTCATAGGATAGAGGTCCAATCGATGTCAAACGGTGACGGTCGTCGTGAGTTTAGGGATTGAAATTAGAGTTTTCTAAGTTTTGAGTTTTTTTAAAAGTTTTTTTCCAAAATTTTTGGGTTTTTTAAAATATAAAATTTTAAACTAAAATGCAATTTTTAAAATTATCAGAACATGACACATATCACTTAACGTTAAAATTTAATAATTGTTATGGCTCAGACACCTAAAATGGTAACATTTGGGCATCTGGATGAATCTAAATGAAGTTTGGGCACCCATTTAGGAAAATGATATAGTTTGGGCACTTATTTTACAATTAAGTCTAAAAAACTACAATAATTTATTAAACATTTAATCAAGTAGGGGCTGAATCAAAGAACGATAATTTCATATTTTCAAAATTTTTGGTCTAAGACCAATTTATATCATCGTAAGTTTAAATATTAGATAAATTAGACATTATCTTCTTAATTTTAAATTTAATAAATACCTAATAAGCTATTATATTTTTCTTAAAAAGTTAATATTTTGACTACTATCAATATTTATTTATAACTCGTGCCTGATAACATAATATTTTTTCATCAAATTATCTAACCAATTTTGTCGGACAAATATGTTGTATTTAATTTATAAAACATATGATATTTCTTCTTATTTAAAAATTATAAAATAACGAATAAAATATGTTTAATTAAAATTTTTGAAAATGAAAATAAAATATGTGAAAAATATTTTTTTTCCAAACAGAATTTCTAAATTTGAAAATATTGAGTATTTTTTTTAATTTAATGATTTGGGTTCAAATATATATTGATATAAAAAAACATTGGAAAATTCTACCATGCTCGACGAGCTCTGCTGAGCATCATTAATGATGAGCATCACTGAGTACTATTAATTTAATTTATAAAAATCTAAAATTTTAAAGAACTCGACACATAAATATAAATTAATTAAAAATTTAAAGGTAAGTGATTTAAAATAAAATATTAATTACGTTATTTTTCATAATCCTTTTTAACAGTTTTTTAATAATTTTTAAAGATAAATTATAAAATTGTTTATTGTTGAAAAAATTAAGATAAATAATGTAATTAATATTTTATTTTAAATAATTTACCTTTAATTTTTAAACTAATTTATAATAATACGTTGAGTACTTTAAAATTTTAAATTTTTATAAATTAAATTAATAGTGTTTAGCGATGCTCGTTTAGCTTGACATACTCATCCAAAAGGATTTCGATAATTATTAAATATCAACGTTTCTATTTTTACAAACTAACCAACAACCAGTCGATCTAGTGAAATGAGGCACTAGATCCCTTAAGCAAAGTCAGATGTTTGAATCCTGACGTTTGCGAATGGAATAAACTGGGTTAAGAGAGTCGCCCTCATCTTTGCAATATTCAATCTAGATTAGTCTGTCATTAGATCGGATACCAGTGATAAATTTAAATATATATATATATATATATATATATATATATAGAGAGAGAGAGAGAGAGAGAGAGAGAGAGAGAGAGAGAGAGAGAGAGAGAGGATTCAGTTATCAAAAGTTGAAAATTTTGAGCCCATATTGCTTTTCAATTGTTCCGAAAGAGAAGCCCAAATGGAGAGAAAACAAATACTATAAAACGCTTATAATAAATTAGGGTTTCTCTGTGTAGGTAAGACGGTGTAGAACATAAGCCTCGTCTCTAGCTAACTGTCTTAGCTGCTGCTGCTGCTTCAGATCTCATCACTACCATGGTAATTTCTCCTCTATTTATTTAAACTCTTGTTTGGTTTCTAAGAAAATGTTTCCATGGAAATGTGTTCGATATACTTGGTTTTGTTTTATGATTTGTTAGATCATCCCAGAAAAGAACCGCCGTGAGATCTCCAAGTACCTCTTCCAAGGTACTCAAATGATAAATAGGCTTTGTAATTTCAACTTTCCCCCCATATTTTAGATAGATATTTGGATTTAAGATTTGGGTTTTGTGCTTGTTTTTGGAGTAGAGGGCGTTTGTTATGCAAAGAAAGATTATAATTTGGCAAAGCACCCAGAAATCGATGTTCCGAATCTTCAAGTGATTAAGCTGATGCAAAGCTTCAAGTCGAAGGAATACGTGCGTGAAACTTTTGCTTGGATGCATTATTACTGGTACCTAACCAATGATGGTATTGAGTTTTTGAGGACCTACCTTAATCTTCCTTCTGAGATTGTTCCCGCTACTTTGAAGAAACAAGCTAAGCCTGCTGGTCGTCCGATGGGGCCTTCCGGTGATCGTCCACGGTAATAGTTTTGGTTTTTTGTTTGTTGTTGCTCTTTGTTTTATTGTAACGTGATTTGTTTTTCATATGTTATCTTGGTTATGAATCAGTGGTCCACCACGCTTTGGTGATGGTGAAAGGAGATTTGGTGACCGAGATGGATACCGTGGAGGCCCTCGAGGAGGTGGTGATTTTGGTGACAAGGGAGGAGCTCCGGCCGATTATCAGCCTTCATTCAGGGTAATGTTTAAGGGTTCTTACAGTAGTTAGGCTTGTGTGTCAAGGTTTAGGGTTCATACAATAGTTCTTGGTTCTCCCTAGGGTGTGTGAATGTGTGTTGTCAATAGTCTAAGAAAAATTATGAACATATATTACCTTGTAATCACCCCAGACTATTCTTAGTTTGTTTAATTTAGATCAATTAGGGAATTATTTGGCTTCTTTTTGTATATGTATGCTATGTTACTTGGAATTGATTGTGGATGTTGCATACATGTATGTATCTGACGCTTCTGTGCTTGGTTTTTCTATGTTTCACCTTTTATGTTGTAGGTTATTGGAGAACATTATCCCCATACTCATAAATGAAACGTTTCTGACATACATACTTTTAATGATAAAACAAAGAGTCGGTACAAAATAGTTTCCATGCTCTGTTGCATTTGCACCAGCATAGTTTCAAATATGAAGATAAATTATGCTTTGTAACTCAGAAGTTAATGCCTGATTGCCTTATTATAAACCGGAAGCGGGCACTTTGAAGAATGCATTTTCCAATTAATTGAACTCAGATATTTCAGTTTTCAAGAGGCCACCTTTTCAACTGAGGTTATTTATCTATAACAGAGAAGCTTATATAATTTTATTTTCTTATGAACATCCAGGGCCCTGGTACAAGGCCTGCATTTGGTCGTGGAGGTGGTGGTTATGGTGGTGCTGGACCTGCAGCAGGTGCCGGTCTTCCTTGAGAGATGATTTGTTGTGAGGGATGGTTTTGCCCGTTTAGGTTTGTCTGCATTCGGACTTTATTGTTGTACTTGTCTAATGCTTCAATGTTTGATAATTTTTAGTTTGATGCTTAAAAACGCTGTGTCTGTTTTTGTTTATTTAATGGCGGAATTTAGAAACAACGTTCCCTTTCCCCTGATCTATATTAACATTTTGTGGTGTTTGGTGCTCTAAGCGCTTGATATATCTATTTTGTTTCCCCCGTGTACTGTTCTTGTTGCATTGAATTCTTTGTTTCAAGTAGACATCCACTCTATGGCTTGAATTAACACCTAACCTCGATGGTGATCGGCATAAACCCAGACTCAAGGTTGAATGTCGAATATGGTATGTGCGTTACTTGTATATATTTATTCTTTCCATAGATTTTCCATATATTTATAGATCCCTTTGATGGTTCCATTAAAACGAGTAGTAGTGCGTGTCTTAGACCAACATCGGCCTTCCTTGTTAATGCTCGATAGTGGAAGCTCCATGGCTCAATGTAAAGATTGGGTTATGGTAATTTGTGTTAAGTCGGACTTGATTCGTATGCATTTGACATGAATATGTTCAATGTTTTATGGAAAGTTTAATGTATTTGATCCTCCCAAATATTTCAAACGTATCAGCCGCTACAATAAGGAAAAAAAATACTAAGAAAGTCTACCAGGATGCTGTCCTTCTCCAGACATAAATCTGTCTGTAAAGAAAGGTTAGCATCGATTTATTTCCGTCGATCACTTCATCGCCAGAAAGCTCTCCTCCACCAAACTTCGAAACCTCTCTGAATGTTGGGACAATCTTCACCAGAGTTCAAGAATCTATCAAGCCAAGCAAGGAAAATGTCCTGCTGCAATGGCAAAGCCAATGTAAGAATCATGTTACTAAGACCATCCTCGATTAAATGTCGGTCGAGCCCCTTCGATGCCCGCATCATCATCCACCTGAAATCATCGTAGAATGGCACCAACCATGTCTGTAGAAGCAAGGACCTCACTTCCTCTGATGCCAATAGCTGCCCCTTTCCAATACCGATGAACAGCCTTGCGGTAACTCTGCTGATCTCGAACCGATGGATAGCTGGAACTTTAGAATGAGTCTCAGATAATTCAGATTGAGAAGCCCATGATTTTAGAAAATCCTCAGCAATCTGCCTATCAACCAAAATGTCAAGGATCCAATGCAGATTATCCGCTTGTCTTGCAATCTGATTCACATCCTGCAAATCCGATGACGCTGCTTGGAGAAAATGGTATTGAAGCAGTTCCAGACAGCCGTCGCAAGCGGAGTATAACGACGCTTTCCGGAGATCATTCCGAGAGGGATTCTCACGAAGCATCTTCAGGACCAATTCTTTCATTTCACACCTTGCTTTCTCGTCATTGCCTTGAAGAACCAGATGCAAAAGCTTGAGAAGCACTCGTTCATTGTCGCCACCATCGATTCCGTTAGTTACTTCAACAGATACCCTCTTCAAAACTTCCCCAGCTCCGACGTTTTCAAGGTGGAGCTCCGCCAATAAAGAAGCTACTTTCTCTTCTTCGTCCACCGTCCACGGCGCAGCTTCCAAGTACTCCAAACATGAAAGAACTCCAGCATCAAATCCAATTGCTACTGAAACCTGAACAAAAACAACCATTTCAACATCAAAATAAATTGTTATAAACGTTAAAAATGGAAATTTTGAATCTTTACCTTCAAAATTCCAAGAACACTGGAAACCTCCTCTCTCATTAACATCTTCCTCAAATCTTTACCGTACATCAACCTCAAAGTCTCTATATAAACCTCAACGTCTTCACAATCCGCTATTTCCAGGCTGTACGGTTCACCTGAACCGTTCGTCTCTGGGGACCGGTCCGATAACTTCACCGCAAAAAACCTACTGTGAGCCACCAGTATATGCCTGTGCACGTTCATCGATACACTAATCCCATCTTTGGAGCTCAATGTCAGTTTTATATCACGCGAAATCGGGTCGTTGAACTGGTTCCCTGGGCTCCGCGTCGACAGAAGATCCGAAATTCGTTGCATGGTCAGTGCCTGCATGTCGACGATAAACGGAGGTTGGTTTTGTCTTGGAGCTGAAGTGGGTACTTGGATCTTAGCTTGGTTTTGGGTTTGGTTACTCGAATGGATATCGGGTTCGTTACCCATCATTTCGAAAAGGGTCGGAGTGGAGCGTGTCTTGTCCGCCGGAGGCGGCGGGGACATCGGGTTTAGAAGACCCGCCGTGAGGGCGGAATTGAACTCAATGAAACTCCACGGAGAGTGGCCGTTGGAGAGCGTAGTCCTACCGGTGAAGTCCATGACGGGAGATACCCTACCGGGACAATATCGGATCTTGAAACCGGACAAAGAATCGTTTGAACCCAGGCCGGGAACACCAGCAGCTTGTGGGGGAAGCGGAGGAGGGGAAGGCGGGGGAGGAGACGGAGCAGGGGAAACAGGAGTGGAGTGGGAGCAGTTGTTACCAGTGGCGGAGGAAGAAATGGTGGTTTCTTTACACTTGCGGCGTTTTTGCTTGATGTATTGCACTTGAACTTTGAGCTGAGCAGTGGTCGTTGCCATTAATTCAATGTCACTTTGTTTCTTTGCCTGAATTTTATTGTCTTTTACGCTAGTAACAGCATTGGCGGTGGGTACAAGAACCGGAGCTGGCCAATCGGGTGAAAAATTCGGGTACAAGGACATGAGCCTGTGGCTGTTTGAATGATGAGAATTTTTTTTTGTTTTCCTGGAGTTTCGAGTTGTTGTTGCATCACAGATTGAAAAAGAGAGCAAAAGTTAGCAGCATGGCTACCCCACCAAAAGTGCAACTCAGGCCACCATTATTTTGCTGGTCAGTCTTGCTATACCTTCTTTTTTTTTTGGGGTAAATTCATTTTTTCTATTTTTTAGCATTTATCTTTTAATTTTATTATTAAATTATATGCCCTAAGTCAGGTTTAGGTTTGAGAGTTCATAGTCAGAGGTTATAGGGCTATAGTTTAGGGTTTAATATTTATAATTTGTGGTTTTAAGTTAGAAGTAGTAATAAAATGATGCAATTGAGAAATTTTGAGGGTTAAATTGATGTAAAAATACGATAGGGATGAAAATGTATCATTTGATCTACTACACGAGCAAAAGTTACCCTTTTGCCTTTTTTTATTAATCAAGATATGTATAAAATAATATCTTTTTAAATATAGTTCTTAATCAATTGATACCGAAGGTTCACGACCTTAGCATTTATAGGGTTTAAACTCGAAATATCATGAAATAACAATAATTCATTTATTACTGAAATTATTTGTCTGTACATCACTCTTAATATTTAACTTTTTAATCATTATTATATTAACTAATTGAATTAAACTAAATTATTATTTTTAGAGTTATGATTAGGGATGCGCACGTGACTTGAATCCAACGAGTTCCAACTTGATCCGATCTAATCGAATTAGATTTTTTTTTAAAATTCAGATTTGGGTCGAGTTGGATTTTTTGGAGGAAATATTTGGATCGGGTTGGGTTAGATTTTTTTTGGAGGAAATGTTTGGATCGGGTCGGGTTTAGGTTTATGATGAAAAATATATGACTTGACCCTACCCAAAAAATAATTTAAATTTACCTTATATATTTAAAGATAATGACAATAATAACCCTCTATACATTATTTTTTTCAATTAGAACCCTATTTTTAATGAATATATATATAACCCAAATTCGACCCGAGTTTAGGGATGACTTCACCCGACAAGAACTTAACCCGACTTTTTCGTATAAATCCCGAATCCGACTATACATATAGTCGGATTCGGGTTTTATATCAAAAAGTTAGATCGAGTTCTAGTTAGGTGAAATCACTCATAAATTCAGATCAAGTCGAATTTCGAGTGAAAAATATATATTTTCCGATCAACCCGAACCCGACCCATGTCCATCTACTTATACTCCATTAATATGACTATTCTTTTCCGGCCCAACTTCGCATGTGAACGACAAATTACCACGTGGATCGAATTTATATTATATTATTTTTATTTTGAAAATAAAAATAGAAATGCTTGAGAGAAAAATAATACCATGTCATTGCAGTGACAAAATAATTATTTGTCAGATAAGTGGAAATACTGAAGGGAAAAAAAACAAAAATGATGAATTCGTGGCGTGCAAATTTCTTCACATTTTAGTTTTAAAAAGTTCAGTCTTAACAAACAAGTCAATCATATAAGTACCCCTCCACTCCATTTGGCTCAAATTATAAGCAATGCTTGCATTGCATGTTTGATAAAGTTGCTTCATTCTTTTATCAATTCTTATAGAGATACAAATGTTAATAAATCATTTGAGATCAATAAATCATTTGAGATCGATTATTTTAGATGGAATAAACGAGTCACGATAATTATAAGGGGTTCGTTATTTCTGATTTGGATAGAGAGTGATAGATGGTGAAAAAACGATAGTTGGTCAGTGTTGAGATATTCTATTTCCATAAGAAGATAGAAGAGAGATAAATGGAGATAAAGTTTTTTTGCCACGATCTCGATCAAGGGATTTTATAGTGATCTATAGTGCAAATGTTAGACTATTTGTAGGCCGAAGGAATAAGTAAATTAGATTAATGTAATTAGCTATCAATTAATTTTGACTTCTTACATGTCACATGAATCATGTAAAAAAATTGTAATTTCTCGAGAGGTGTAAAACTCTGAAGGCCTTGTATCTAGAGATACTCTTATGAGACCTTAGTCACAATTATGCTTTCGATGGATCTTGATATTCAATAGGTGGTACAATTAGGGTTAGTAATTTAATTCGAATTTGATGAGTTTCGATCTTACCTGACTTGATATGATAGGGTCGGATTGTTTAAAAAAAATCAGGTTCAGGTCAGGTTGAGTTGAATTTTTTAAGGGGTGAGGTCGTCGGGTTGAGTTTGGGTCGAGGGTGAAAAAACTCTGACCCGACTAGACCCAAGGATAATAATGTAATTTTCTTAAAAAATATTATTTTTTAAATTAAATCCTTACTTTATAACGGGTCGGATCATGTCATACTTATACTCTAAAAAATCAGGTCGGAGTCAAGTGGAAGATATAAAATTTTCAGGTCAGGTCGGGTGGAGGATACTTATTTTTGAGTCGGATCAGATTGACCAAAAACCCGACCCTAACTCGACCCATTACCATCCCTAGGTACAACAAGCGTAAAGAGAAACTCTTAAGATTTAATATAATTATTATAAAATTATTTTGAACCGTTCACACTTTTAAAAATTCGAGTTGTTTTTTATTTCTTGAGATCCAGAGTTCGAGTACAAAAAATGCTAGGATATAAACATTTAATGTTAGATGATTGATACTCATCTTTGAACAGATGCTACCTTGTACTTCCGTAAGATTAATGAAAAAAATTGACTTTACTATAAATCTTTACGCTTTATACTTTGTTCATCATTTCAATTTTATCAATCAATGTCCAAGAATAAACTTTGAAATATACAAAGCTACGATGCATCAGCAATGGGACTAAAATTGTTGTGCCTTGAAGAAGAATGAATATGTTGTCCTGCAACTGCAGCTGCTCGGAACAAATAAGAACTAGGATTGAACTAATAAAATCGATTCCGAAATCTTCGGCAATTCCACACTCCAGACGCAACCGATCGTTCTCCGTGGGTGTGTTCTGAGCTCTGGGTTGGTTCCGGCGCGGCGTAATGTACGGTGCGAAACAAGAGTGGCCTTGCTATATATAACCAGTAGTGTTGAAATACATCTAGTTAGTTGATATTATACCGTGGCACATATCGAACCTGAGGCATAAACGAGAAGATTTTGTTAACACGGTGGACCGGAACCTCGAGTTTATGTTCATTCAGTTCATATGTCGAAAAATACGACACTTCTGCAATTGTTTACTGCATCTTATGCTGAACATGACAGGAGGACAACGGTATGAACAAATGAATGCATGTTTCAAACTGTTTCTCTTCATCTTAACCTGTAAATCACCTCAGCAACCGTATAGTATACGTGCATTTGATCGGAAAAGAGACAAATTTTGACCTGTAGACGACGGAGAACAGCAAAACTTGCTCTCATCAACATGCTTAACATCGAGTCCGATAAACCATGATCCTGCACTCACATCATCGTGGGCATATATCCGAAGAATAGACCTGCAAAGAGGCAAATTATGATCAACTTGGTTCGGTTTAGGCCGAAAAAGGTGTTGAGACTTTATTAATGGAGATAAACTGAGCCAAAGCTCTTGAAATAGCATATATTTCGTCTGAAGCATGCCGAAAGTATCTGCACCATACACAAGAATTGTAGGATGCAAAGGGAAAACATATGAAACTATATATAACCTTGAAGACAAACCATTGATCTGCTGTTGCATACATTGTTCGAAAAATCTGGAATTCGAACACGAATGCTATTCGACCCGAGATTATGCAATCGTTACTAAACTTCCACGACATATATGAAGGAAGAAGATTCTGTTACGATTTTGCATCACCGAATTTCCACCAGTCGGGTTCATACCATTTGTGAGTCCTATGAATGTGTACAAGAACATAAATACAAGTGCTCATGAATCTTTAGAAAAGGTCTGGAAGGGGGTGATCGCTGTACCCTACATATGGTATCGTCAAACAACGTCATTGACTTTAACATAGAACTCGGCATCCCAGCACTCCACAGCATGTACAAAGAGAAGTTTTATCTTCTTCAAACGTTCCTCGGGTGCCTCGACATGATTCTGATGAGACGACGATTCTCTTCTCTTCTTCTAGTTTTTCCAAAGCAGCACATGCACATATTAAATGGAATGCAGATATCTATTAACTAAAGTAGCAAAGTATTTTTTCAAGATCCATCTAAGTTAGGACAGATTAATGTTACACATGTTCTCATCAGTGAAATTTAATGCTATTGATGCCAAGCCACCTAAACTTACAACGGAACAGTGTTAGTCGGTCATTTGGCCTCATAGTTTACCGAAAGCAATCTCGACTTTTAACTTACTATCGATATAGGTAACCATGCCTGATTGCAGCCTTCTAATTTACAGCTAAACAAACCTAGGAGGCAACTCAATTGAGAATCAGCATAAACATGTCTGCAAGTGACTGAATATTAGCTGTAGATAGACAACATTTTCTCATGTGCCTGACTGAAACTCTTGCAATGTCAAGAGAAAGGAAGGCATTACCGGATCGCATCGATGCTTTCCGGATCACGTCTCTATTTTTCTTTCGTCTGAATGTTGTGATGATACCTATAACAGCTAAAAGCCTTCTATTAGAACGAGTACCGTCACCCTCCGATCTTTCCTTTGAAATGAAACCTTCGTGCCTCTCAGCTGATAAATCCATCTCGAGGGCCGATAACTTCTTCTGTTGTTCCCTGGAATATGAAGCATCGTCGGGATCAGGCTTGACATCCGAGACATAGCAGGCTATAACTTTTAATGTATCATCCAGAGACATAGCAGCAATGCATGATTTCCCTGAAAAAAAAAAGAGAATTAAACAATTAAATGTACCCTTTTCCAACTCTCAAACATCAACATTATCAAAACTACATCAAACAATTCCCAGCTATCACTTTTATGCTAAAGAATCAAGCTTGAAAGTGAATCGAAATATCAGTATTACAATAGATGAGATCAAGAACGAGAGCGGAAAAAAGAAAAGAAAACTACATGATCAGTTCTCCTGTCATGTTGTTGAATTAAGTTTACTCTGCTCTCCTCTTCTTGCCACATGCTACATTCAAAACACACCCCCAGAAAAAGAACTCGTTAAATGTGTGTGTGTGTGTGTATACATGTATATGCATTCAAAACCCACAAAGTAAAAGGAAAAAGAAAGAGAAGAACCGGCCGGCAACGTAAATTGTGGCCATGGTTAATTGGGTTAAATGGGTTTTATTCACTTTTAAACCTTTTTTGTTGTTGTTTGAGATTCCGTTTCCTTTTACAGTTTAAATTTTCTCAGCAACCAAACATGATTTCTCTACCTTGGCTTTTGATGTGGTACACAATTTAGCTTTTAAAAAGCTTTCATTTCGTTTTTATTTCAGGGGTTGTTGATTAAACATGTTGTCAGCTTTTATCGTTTCAAGTTTCTCAATAATTAGGGTTTTTGATTTCAAATGTGTTTTGTTTCAGGTGATATCAGCAGAATCTTAGTGATGAAATAACATCGTCTCCTTTTTTTATTTTTCTATTTTTGGGTTTCATTTATTGAAATCAATCAATGCCCGTGACCCAGCCATTGGATTCTCCATAGCCAAGACTCGGCATTCAACTCACCTCTCAAACTATTCGTGTCAGTGACTCAAATAGTCAAATCTCTCTCTCTTTCAAATTAATTACTGTTCATAAAAATCTGGGATTCTCTCTGTACTTCATTTAAAGCTTGTCTTCTGTTTTTACAGGGTCATGAACAAAGCTCAGAATCCTTGACTACAAAAACAAAAAACAAATGAATGAATGTACAGAGTTGATGAGTTATAAGTCGACTTTTCTTTTTGAGAATCTGGGAATTTGGATTGAGGGAGTTCCAATTTAGCTTAGTTTTAACAGTTGAATTTGGGGAACAAAATGTTGCAGCAGCAGCAGCATGAACTGTGTTCTCGGATTCTGTTCCGTCCCGAGGCAAAATCTGCGACGAAGAAGCTTTCGGTTCTTCCGAGACACACGAAAGTTATCGTCACCGGAAACAAGAACAAAGTCTGTATTGGTTGGCTTGCAAGGTGTCGTCAAGAAGGCCGTCGGCCTCGGTGGTTGGCATTGGCTGGTGTTCTCATTAACCATTATAATCGACTCGAATGTGTAGTGTTTATCGCTATCAATTGGTTCTTGCATATATGATTCGTTTGTTTATATTAATTACCTGGCATTCTTTAACTTAATAAGGCAATATTTTCTCATATGGAAGCTAAGTATACAGTCCTGGATTATTATTTGCTTTAAACTCAACTTTTTTGAAGATTGAATGGTTGGAAACCCCGAAAAAAGTTAAAATCCATGGTCGGACCGACGTAGGATTTGTTAGAACATTTTCATGGTCCATTTGTACGGCGAAGCCTCTTTTGCGGTCGTAGTTGCGAATCCTTTTATAGTTAAGAATACTACTCGATAGGCTTTGTTTGTAGATTGTAATGAGTGATGCTAGTGCTTGTTTTCAAAGGTTTTAAAGAATGGGGTTGAAGTAAAGCTGCAAAGGAACGCATTGAGTGTGCTCGAACACCCTACAGGGAATGAAGTAGACGGTGATCATGATTTCGAGAAATCAAGCAGTGGCTCGGACATTGGTAAGAACCACCATGATTTCATTTCACAATAAGCTAAAAATATGTTCATGTGAAATTTAACGTTTTGACGAGACCCTTTTTTCGTTCTCTCTTTCGACAGCTAGTAGCATCGAGTTCCAGAGGGTTTGGTTTCTAAACCGAGAGTTCGACATACGAAACCATGGGTTCCATCTGCATCCATGAAAGTATCTAACTGAAGCAGTTACAGAGATGTTCAATCCATTATCAGTGTACCCCAGTCGGTTAGTATCAAACTTTGCAGCATTCATCCAAGCCTTTTCGTATAGCAACACGCACCTAAATCCGGTGCCCTATTTGTCGGAAAAATGAAACCTTTGTATCTGACATGTGTTTCTTGATTCCGAAGGTAAACTTGGCAAGACTCGACAGCGACTCCTGGAGAAGATATTGCAGGCGCTTCAAACTTGTAGGCACTACAAACCGTAACCCCGACAATTTTCTTCGATAGACATAATTACATTTATCTAAATAAGGGGTTCGGTTTTGATTTGTAGGGTAGCATCAATGCTTATTCACCAAGGGAACTAATGCTTAACACCGTGCAGCAGCGTTTTGGATCACAGGTATATTCCTTCTCGGAGAGCAAATGCGACTAAACAGGCCCGCCACATTTAAGCCCTCTGTCTGAATCTAACATCCTTTCTTCGATACAGCCACCACTCAACGACGTACAGGTAATTTCGGAATTCATCACTGCCGCTAAGAGACTGAAAACCGACGACTCACAAAGTGAGCAACTCTGAATGTTCCTTCAACATTGCAGTTGATGCTTATTTTAGTTCCAACTCTAACATTAGATTAGTTCCCATTAAAAGACTAATAGGGAGGATTAGTCGATCGACCGACCGACCAGATGTTGTCCTCAGATTCTAACTTTGTAATATAGGGCTTGTGGCCTCTGTTAGGGTTCTAGTATGTCTACCATTCGTTAATGTGTTCTGAATTTTCTCTTCTGGGTTTCTTGAACATGGCAGCATGATGTTAATTCTGGGAAACTTTTAGTATCTTTCGAAAATAGATTTTATTATCTCAACCATTTGAAAATGAATGTTTATCCTACATACTCGGTGCTCAAATTTAGAATCTCAAGAAATAACAATAAATTCTTTAACTATTAAGATCATTTGATTCATGCTACGATGTTATAATTTTAAATTATAATGTATGAATAAAACTATACTCCATAGATTATTTAAAAGTATAAAATAAATTTTATTTTTAAAAGTGTCAAAATCCTTCTAAAAGTTGTCATTTTTATTATATATAAAAAAACTTACATAAAAATTTTTCGTTTAGAAATTTTGACACCCCTCAACTTAGCTAATATTTAATTTGAAATTTTATTTGTAATTATATTGTACAAAATTTTAAATTATTAACATATATATACTCGTCTTAAAAAAATCAGGGATGACGATGACGACGATAATAAAGATTTGTATTATAAAGTTTTAACTGGTGGAGATGAAGACAACGACGAAGATCGAGGCTGCGAATCACATGGTTTCTTCACGAGGATTTTGGTTTGGATGAAGGTGTCCTGTTCTGTTTTTTGTGACTTTATATTTAACGTGATTATGTTGGCTATTAGTATTTTTGCCGCCCTTTCCATTAGGGTTTTAATTCGATCACTACTTCGTTCTATTCTATCACTGAATCTTTACATATGTAAGGGGTTGTTTGTTTGCCTCTTAATGGAATTATTCAGCGCTGAATGTTGAATCGTTCAGCATTTAGCACGTTTGTTTCGCACCTCTGAATGATTCAGTGATGACTGATTCAACAAAACAGTGTTGAATTATTCACCACAGAAGTAAATTCTGAATGATTCAGAGTCATTATCAAACAACATGTCACATTCAGAACTAATTCATACAGAGCCTCTGAATCATTCATCATTTGAATCATTCAACGCTTAATCATTCTGAAGTAAACAAACAGCCCCTAAGTATCATAATATTGATTTAAATCTATTTAATATTTATTTTAGGATAAATATGCCACAAGAGCCATTGTGCCTTTTTTCAATATATAAAAAATAAAATAAAATATATTACTTAAATAACACACAATCTTAATTATTTTTTAAATTGATATCCTTTTAAAAAAATATTTTTATAAAAAGCTTCCATTGTAAATGTGAAAAATATACTCACGGTAGAAAACACATTTACATATGTGACTACATCGCTAAAAGACATATCATGGAGATTACATTTTTAAACCTTAGCAAGAACCAAACGACTTCGGTGGTAAAAGAATTGTTATTATTTTTTGAGGTTCCAGGTTCTAGTACCACGAATGTTAGAGGGTGTGAGCGTTCAATGTCAAATGGTTAAGAGTTATTTTTTAACAAATATTGTCTTGTACTTAATCCAGATTAATAAAAAAAACGCTAAAATCAATTCCAATTTCTTCTTAGGTGTTTGGTTTTAGGGTGGTTTATGTTTTTATGATTTAGGTTACTTTTTAGGGTCGATGGTTCAGGATTTTTAGGATTTATGTTTATATTTATACCAGGGTTGAGGGTTTTTAGGATTTGTGTTTATTGTGAGGCCCCAAAAAATTTTGGTATTAGATTTCGGTTGGATTAGATATTTAATTATGATTAAATATTGAATACCAATTCCATTATTATTTTTGGAAAATATATTAGAGCTAATTTGAGTTAATATAATAATTTTATGGGAAAAGAATGTAGAATTTTAAATTAGACCAACGACGATTGGTTCAAGTGGTAAGCAACTTCATATCGCTTAAGTAAGGTCTCATATTAGAGTCCTAGTGTATGAAGAAAATTCCCGCTAGAAGACTCACCCACCAAAATCAGGTATGCGACCCGCGTTGGTCCAAATTAGTCAATGAGAAACTTTAGAATTGGAAGGCAAAAAAAAAAGAATTTTAAGTTGGACTAAATCATAAATTTTGAAAGTTTGATTGGTAAAATAGTCATTTTTTCCAGAGTGAGGAAATCAAATATTAAAGTCAAATTCGATTAAAATGAGAATGTTAGCAGGATTTGGATTGTGCTGGTGGAACAAGTCGATTTTCAGCAAAATTTATTTTGTTTTTGTTGTTGACTACCAGGGAAGTTTTATAGTGCAAATATAATGTTAAAATAAAGTGTTATTGGTTTTATTATTATTTAAATAATAAAATCGGTAAAAAAACTACTTAAAACATTATTATATTTACTTAAAACATCAAATTTTTAGTATTTCCGATAAAAATGTTTAATAATAATAAAATCGGTAGCGTTTTATCAAATTCGGTAAAATTTTCAATAATAACAAAACCGATATAAATAATAATGTTTTCAGTAATTTTTTTACCGATTTTATTATTTAAATAATAATAAAATCAGTAACATATTTTTTTAATCATATATTAAGACTATTGCACGTGAAAATTATAAAGGGATAATAACAACACGTTTTAAAATATAAATAATAAATTTTATAATTTTATTAAATAAACACCAATTAGAGAGTGACATAAATAATCATGTCAACTTTTTTTTTACGTGTGCAGTTTATTTTAATTTCAGACGTTGATTGTTAGTTGACTAATGAGTTTTATTTAATAGAAGTATTTTTTATTTAAAATAAAACGTTTAATGATCAAATATTTTAAAAAAACTTGAATAAATTTAACTATATTATCAAACGTTAAAGTTATTTTATTGTATTATGTATTTTAGATACTTATAAGATGTTATCTGGATGCTTTGTGATTTAGAAATCACTAGAAGTTTATATTATGCTACTGAATTTTTAAAGTGGAGCCGGGTTACTATAGTGGACCGGCATATGGTACGAATGGGAGGAGGAAGGGGCGCAACATCTCAATTTATAAAACCTTCCCTAAACCCTAATTTTCTCGGGAAACAAGCATCCCCCATTCCATTTTCTCGAGAAAATGGTCCTTCAAGTGTCTCTCGTAATCAGCCACATTCACGGAGGTCTAACCCTATGCGGAATTTGTAAATCTCTTTCTTGACCGCTTTATTGTTTATAATTTTGATTCCTTTTTCTAATGAAAAATTTCTAATCATCCCAGGGATGTTTTGCTGCTGAGCTTGATCAGTAATCCCGTATCGAATTGGTCTGTTTGCTCAAATTGCCGGAAATAGAAGATGGGAACCAATTATCTGGTAAGTTTGTTTTTAATTGACTTTCTTCTTCTAATCATTGCTTCTTATTGTTTTCTGTTTTATTTTTAGTTTATGACTATTTATTGAGTGATTTTTTTATTGATCTGCATTTTTGCCCATTTTTTTTAGATTTTTGGTCAGAGAAAGAGTTAAATTGATTAACTAGGCAATATTAGGGTTCATTAGCAGCTGATAATACATTAGTCTGTTAGATGTATAAATTTGCATTTAACATTGGTTCTCTTAGGGTTAAAGTATCTAGGTAGCTCTTGTACTATAGGCAAAATTGTAATTTAGTATGACATGCTGTTTAAATGCTAAACTGAACTTCTGAAATGAACCATGTATTGAACTAAAGCAGCAAAAGACTTATTCTACTAAGAAACCTATAATTTGCCAGATTTCAACTCATATACAACATCAAAATTGAAAAGTCTATGTCAACATTTGGGAAAAAATCCATTGGTACTGATATAAATTTGACTTGTTTGTTGTTTTTACCGGTATCAGAACAGTTAGATTATTGAATTACATGAGTCCATGACTAAATTGCATTTTTTCACCATAGTTACTGTCTTGATACTTTAAACTTAATGCGGCTTTTATTAGTTTATGTTTGATGATGTGTTTTCTCAATCCACGTTGCAGTTATTTTTTGTGTGAGATACTGTTGTGATCTGTTTTTTGAGGAATTCTTGAAAGATTTTGAGAAAATGTCTTCCTCTAGAAAGCCATGTAAAACTAGTCAACCTTCAATCAAGTACAGAGTGAACCCAGCTGAGGGAGCTTTCTTTGAGATTGGTGAGCTTGTTCCTGAAGAATATGCCCCTTCCCTGCCTGATAATAATAGGAAAACCCGAATAAAATCTGATGCCAAGCAACCTCAAAAACTGAGCACTGCCGAGTTTATCTCGTCGTTAAACCATATATGGAACTCAGCAAGCTGTCTTGCTATTCGTCAACAACAGACAAATCTTGAAAGAGCCTGTTGTGTGTCTCAGAAAGAGGATATCCTGGTCAACCTGCAGTTGGGAGAAAATGGCCCCAGATCTGTTTCAGCTGATAGTAAATTATTTTGCATTGATTCGACAACAGCTAGGCAATTGCCATCTGTCATGAAGCCCAACTTTGGTTTTGTCAAAATAACCAAGAAGATGTCCAAGATTGATTTTTCTATTGAAAATATTAATCATTCATTTTACCAGGGGCTTTTATGCTGTGGCTCTGATTTCTCTAATGAGAGTTGGAAAGGGAATGGGCTTTCAGCTGTTGGATTCTCATCTGAAGTTGGAAATGTCTATAAATGGATGAGAAAGATGATTCCTCCTGCTGGACTTCATCATTTTGCCAGTGTCCCAGATCCAGAGATTGTGAATAAGAAAATTGATGAATATTGCATTGCTACAAGTAGTGGTGTAGGAAACTGCATTTCATCATATAGAACTAGTCCGATAGATAATTTGCCCATTGAAAATGCCGAACCTTATTCTCATCATATAAAATCTAAAGATCTATCCTCATCTCATGATGCAAGGTTGATTTTTAATACAAGAGCAACCTCCTCCCTACGCTCGGATTATTTCCTCACTGATGTTCGAGAAACCAAGGCAGGTTGTAGTGTTCTGAGGACTTCGGATTCCAATCTTTGTGCAGATTATCGTATCAACTCTTTAGTTTCCCATTACAGTACATACAAAGAGTGGCAACTTCTTAACAACGGAAATGAATACCTTGACAATCAACTAAAACAACTGGAACCATTTTCCAGAGATGACAGTAGAGCAGAAAGTCACTCAGGAGCAAGTGAAAAACATCAATATGCTCTAGCTAAACATGAGCATGCTTTTGCTGGGGCTTTTGCTGGAATATTTGTTAGCCTTTGCCTACATCCAATTGATACAGTTAAGACAGTCATTCAATCTTGCAATGCAGAGCAGAAGTCGATCTTTTGTATTGGACGATCGATAATTGCTGAAAGAGGTATATTCTTTCTATAGAACAGAGATGACTGAGATTGACTGTGCTCATTTTTATTGTGAATTATGCTGACCTACTTGTTTTCTACATTTCAATCTACAGGTTTAATTGGACTATATCGTGGCATTGCTAGCAATATTGCAACTTCAGCTCCAATATCTGCCCTTTATACTTTCTCATATGAATCAGTCAAAGGGGCTTTACTTCCTCTCCTCCCTAAGGTAACTTGCATCTTTCAATGTGATATAGTGTGGATCACATATCCTGACACACAGAGTTGTAACTGTTTAGTAATTGCCTGTCCATTAGTAACGTGCTAAATCCTTAAGTGTGACTAGCTCACCTGTTTTTCTTATTTCTTGCAGGAGTATCATTCTTTGTCTCATTGCATGGCTGGTGGTTGTGCAAGCGTTGCTACTTCTTTTATTTTTACACCTAGTGAGCGTATAAAGCAGCAAATGCAAGTTGGGGTACACTATCAAAACTGCTGGTATACCTCCAAATTCTTGTACTATTGTCAATATCAGAAGATTAATATGTTAACATGTTTGTGGTTGTTTTCTGCTTATTATATTTTCATTCAAGTTCATTTCTACCCGCAATTACTATAAATTTATCGTCTAGTATGGTTCATTTATTAGTCTCTCAATGACACCCAAAATCTGTTTCTGCAGGAAGGTTTTAGTTGAGATTATCAAAAAGGGGGGTCTGCCTTCACTCTACACCGGGTGGGGCGCTGTACTCTGCAGGAATATTCCTCACTCAATTATCAAGGTCTAATCTTGTTAAATTCATAGTTTAATTGTGTTCTATGCCATGTAAGCTTCAAAGCAGAGGCTAAAGAAATGGCTCTCCCGTGCAGTGGGATGTTGCGAGTTCCAGGAGATTAAAAAGGGTTAACATAACAAAGATATAACTCCATGAAGTACAAATTTGTTTGTAATTCCTCCCATAGTGCCGACCATCCTACCACTGTTCTCTTTACCATCCATAATTTCTTTATGTGTAATTTATGATTCCATCATTGCTTATATGCAGTTCTACACATATGAAAGCTTGAAGCAAGTCATGTTGATGTCATTGCAATCCCCTGCTCAACCGAACACATTACAGACAGTTTGTCTTATGCATCCTTCTTTTTGAAATAACCTTGATACTTTGACAGTTAAATTCTAGTATTTTGGTTTCAACCATCCAGAATCACACTTAGGCGATGATATGATCTTATGCTGCAGCTAGTTTGTGGAGCCGTGGCTGGTTCATCCGCAGCTTTCTTCACAACTCCCTTTGATGTGGTTAAGACAAGATTACAGACACAGGTGTGCAATCTCTTTGTATTATTTCATTTTAATCCTGTTTTCAGCTGCTCGGAAACACTTGGCCTAGTATTCTTGTCAACAGGCTTAAAAGTTTTACACTTTTGCATACATTTCCCTGCTTGCAATCATGCTTACTTACGTCCAAGTTTTTATCAAGGGGACACTATTGAGACAAAATTTTGAAGGGCGCAGGTTTTATATGGTCTAAAATTGCTCAAAAGACCAAAACCCACAAGCCATACTGTTCTCCGGGTTTCATTGAGAGACGAATATATAGAAACCTATGCACTTTAAACACAAAAAGTTTGACCTATATATTGCAGGTTTCAGTCTTTTGAACAATTTATACACATAAATGTGATTAGGTCATATCAGGATCTTTATATCTTTTGTGTTCTAGGTGTTTGTTCTGGTTTAATGGATTATTTGTGTTTCTGACATGAAGACTATAATGCAGATACCTGGGTCTTTGAGCCGATACAATAATGTGTACAATGGCCTCCAAGATATATGGATGCATGAAGGGTTGAAAGGTGTATATAGGTAATCTCCAAGTTCATATATTGTCACTAATATTCTGTTAATATTGAAATTCCATGTAGATCAACTTGGCACAAGCACATACTCTCTTGAGTCATTTGTCAGTCGAAGATTACTTGACGTTTGATAGCTGAACTTTAGTTTTTGTTCTTTTACAAACTAGATGATTTTGTTTCTTAAATGTTGTTAGGGGATTGGTTCCTCGGATAGTTATGTATACGACACAAGGAGCACTCTTCTTTGCATCATATGAGTTCTTCAAGCAGTTATTATGTTCAGAGGCACCACGATCAACCACTCAAAAACAGGAAAAAGAAAATGAAGACGATTCTTCGTTATAATTACCGTCACCAACATTGACATCGACTACAAGACACCATCATCACCACCATCAAGGTTGCACGGTTGACATTCATAGTGGTTAGAAAAGCACTTACATGGACGCATTGTTGGCAAGCTGATAATGGCATGTAGCATTAAAGCATTTACATAACTAGTTTTTGGTTGCTGAGACCTTTCCGAAGGAAAATCTTCATCCAAATAATGGCGGAAAACTAATTGATTCAAGGCAGAGCCTGACATGTAAATTTACTGTGTTCCATCTTGCCTTCTATGTAAAGTTTCTTTTGTGGTAAACTGATAATGGAATCAGGGACGACTGGTGCAAGCAGACCGCTCATTATTACTTACATGGACACTGGTATGTGCCCAACACAAGTGCATTCGATTTTACTCAGAATCTTAGTATTTAGGTTTCATGTGATGCTATGATTTTTCTTCAAATGAAGCTAGTCAGTAGCTGCTTCAACTGCGGCTCTGATAACTAGATCCTTCGGTGTGGTCAAGACAAGATTATAGGCAGGTCTACAATTAATCTCTTTGTATCATTTCATTATTGACCTCCGAGTCCATACATGTTCACTAATATCGAGTTAATCCAGTTAGGGTCATTTTTCCGATCGAGATTACTTGATTGTTGAATCTTTAGTTTTAGTTCTTTTACAAACCGTAAGATTTTGTTTTGTTAAAATATGGTCAGGGGATTGATTACTCGGTTGTTAAAATATACATATGGAGTATAGTTCTCCTAATAGGTCTCGAGTTCGAACAGTTGCAGTTGCATCTGTAGAGTGTATGCACGTTGTAAATGTCTAAGATCATTTATGACAACGAAGGAAAGCTCATTTTACATCCATACGAGTGATTTGTTTTTATAAATGATAATACATTTATTAAATGTCAGAAAATCCATCATATCATCGAAAGAATTTAGTAGAGTTCAATGTGGATTAATTGATTAAATCGAGCTCTTGAATTATCTTGTATTTATTGTCCTTTAATTGGAAAATCTCACTTAGTATACCAACAATTATACAAACTTATCTTAAGGTGCGATCGGGTTATGGGTTTTTATTTTATTTTATTTTATTTTATTTTATTTTAATGGGATCATAAATATTATTTAGGGACTCTCTTCTATTTGATATTTTAAAATTTCCATTGTACACGATGAAATCAAATTACTAAAGCTATGTAAAAAAAAAATCAGTCTTTAATTACCCAAATCTCCAATAGTCTTGAGAAATTCTTTGAATCTAACCAACAAAATAAAATTAGATAACAGCCACAAAATCTCCATTAGTCATGATAGTCTTCAAAGCAGCCATCAACAAGCCAAATCAAGGTTCAAAGCAGTCATTGGTTATATAGTGTTGTTTGTTGAGTCTCTCGACTATTAAAAGTTACAAAATGGTCACATGTCTATTCATTATATTTCAAACTCGTATTTTTTTTGTTAAAAATGGATGGTGTTTTGAGTTGAACGTTAATCTATTGACTGTGATATAATAAAATATGATCCTAGAGTCTCAAATGATTATCATATCTCAGTCATCATGTTGACATCATCTTAAAAACCGCTATTTTTTTAATAGAAAACTATGAGTTGAAACAGAATGGATAGCCAAGTAATCATTTTATAACTTTTAACAGTCTGAGACTTAACAAAGCAACATGAACTATAAGCATTTTATAACGTTTAATAGTTAAAAGACTTAATAAAATAATACTCTATAATCAAGGGACCATTTGTATGTTTTACCCTTCTTTAAATTGTTGTTTAATTCATTCCCATTTCCTAGCCGCCAACTCATAATCATGTGGCACCCTACGTATTAGATACACATCAAATAGACTATATTAGCCTCTTTTTTACTCGAAATAATTTAAGGCGATTATAAAATAATAAAATTAGTTAATTTGATGTTTGATAATTAATATTAAAATATTTTATTGACAAAGGCGACCAATATCAAAATTTAATAATCTTTATATAATTTTGTTTATAAATAACGAGTGAAGAGTGAATTAAATAGTCTGGTCCATTATATATGAACACAACTTCATATGAATTTGAATCGTACCGAAAGGTCCATTATATATCAGAAATTGTTGAAGAAAGAATAAGATGTTACGATCAGAAAACAAAAAGAAATAGTATATTAAAGATCAAATTATTTTGTGAATAAGTGGTTTGATTGACAAAATTTAAAGATAGGTGATAAAAATAAAAGAACTAAATAACTAATTGACCAATGATATAATTTACCCGAAAAGAAATGCATTTTCTTTTCTTTTCGTTGGAATCTTTCTTTTCTTTATTCTTTTCCATTCCAGAAGTTATATATACACTTTCGTAGTCGCCCTTTCCATCCGCATCTATCCTTTTCCATTTCACGGAAAATTAAACCCTAGAATTTGATCTCGAATCGCTCGATAACAGCCAAGGTGATAATGTTAACTCCGAAGAATCTTGTCTTTGTTCTTTTAAACTTGGCTTAGATTTGTATTATTTACTTCAAATTATACCTTCACCTCGAAAGGCTTGCTTAAATCTGTTTCGCTCTTCTTTTTTTTCTTTTAATTTTCTGTGAATTTGACTCGAAATTGAACCTGCATTCGTTTTTTTTTGTCAGTTGTGTGCTTGTTATTATTAGATTATTGAATTGGGAAAAACTTTTAGCGGTTAGTTAGAAATATATGATGCATGTTTTAATGGAGGAATTTCAGTTTAGGTCTATTGATAATTGAATTTGAATGTTGATTTTGTTTTTTTTTCCAGAAAGTTACTTGGATGATAGGCTGGACCTGGTTAGTTTTGAAATTAGGCTCGTTAGTTGATTAAGATTTTGAATTTCTGTGAGAAGCAATGTTCAATGCTTGACTATCTTGTGGATGTTGGTAATGGAAATTTTTGGTTTGATAACCTGTGATATGTAACTGAGAGGCTTCTGTTGTTCTGTGTTTGTTATTATTAGATTATTGAATTGAGAAAAACTTCTAGCGGTTAGTTAGTTAACAATATGTGATGCATGTTTTAATGGAGGAATTTCAGTTTAGGTCTTTTGCTAATTGAATTCGAATGTTGATTTTGTTTTTTTTCAGAAAGTTGCTTGGATGATAGGCTGGTTAGTTTTGAAATTAGGTTTGTTAGTTGATCAAGACTTTGAATTTTTTTGAGAAGCAATGTTCAATGCTTAACTATCTTGTGAATGTTGGTAATGGAAATTTTTGGTTTGATAACCTGTGATATGTAACTGAGAGGCTTCTGTTGTTCTGTGTTTGTTATTATTAGATTATTGAATTGAGAAAAACTTTTAGCGGTTAGTTAGTAACAATATGTGATGCATGTTTTAATGGAGGAATTTCAGTTTAGGTCTTTTGCTAATTGAATTCGAATGTTGATTTTTTTTTTAAGAAAGTTACTTGGATGATAGGGTGGTTAGTTTTGAAATTAGGCTTGTTAGTTGATCAAGACTTTGAATTTCTGTGAGAAGCAATGTTCAATGCTTAACTATCTTGTGGATGTTGGTAATGAAAATTTTTGGTTTGATAACTTGTGATATGTAATTGAGTGGCTTCTTTTGTTGTGTGTTTAAGGGAGCGGATTGATGGCGCTTGTTTCTAAGGCAGGCTCACCATATTGTATCCGTGGTGATATAACTTGGGGTAGAACCGGGCAGAATGTGGCCTTTGGTATGGTGAAAAATGTTGAGGTTCCTCTAATGAAGGAAAAATCTGTCGTTTTTCCTTCTTTTTCATGCAACAATGTGAAGATAGCTCGTAAGCTTCCTTTAGAAACTCTGGGATTTCGAGGCAAAAAAAGGAATAGTGTGATTGTTGCGGCAAGCCCTCCCACAGAGGATGGTGTGGTTGCTACTGAACCATTGACGAAAGAGGATCTTGTTGGATACCTTGCATCTGGATGTAAGCCCAAGGAAAATTGGAGGTAAGAATTATCCTTCTTTGTTTTGTTTGGATTAGAGTATCTCTTACGCTCTTTTATTCTTATTTGAGATTAACTTATCATGTTAACTTGACCTTTTCATGCTTTTAAATTTGTATATCACCAGTTTCACACATGATATTTTAGGAAACCTTTGTTGCCTTTATAACTTGTTGATATCAATAGCTAGCCGTATTTGTCCTTGATATGTTTTTACTTTTTAGTATTTATATTGGATCGAGTTATAGTTTAAATCTTTCCATTAGCAAATTGACCCACTTTCTATATTTACACTTGTTTGCTAATGCTAGTATTTGGTTTACTCAGAATAGGTACAGAGCATGAAAAGTTTGGTTTCGAGATCAAAACTCTGCAACCTATGAAATATGAACAAATAGCAGAATTGCTGAATGGTATTTCAGAGAGATTTGATTGGGATAAAGTAATGGAAGGTGATAAAATTATTGGACTTAAACAGGTAAACTGGTTCTCTTTACTTATGGTGGTTCATTATGCTATTAATTGCAATGCTTAGCAATTCTATTTAAGAAGAGAATTTGCATTGCAGGCTACCTGCATTCTTTTTTTCTTCTTATTTGCATATGGAATTTTTGCAATACCTTTATTTTTTGTGGTTAGGGGAAGCAAAGCATATCATTGGAACCTGGGGGGCAGTTTGAGCTCAGTGGTGCACCTCTTGAAACTTTGCATCAAACATGTGCCGAGGTCAATTCACACCTCTATCAGGTTTGTTAAAGAGAAAAGAATAATCTAGTGCATGCAACCTTTTAACTAAGTTCTAGATTCTTAAGAAATTGCATGCAGAAGTAGCATCTATCAAGAATTTGGACTATGTCAAGACTCATACTGCCCAGAGATGATGTGTTTTTGTGATAACTTCTAAATCATTTAAATTACATTGTGGAAAACACTTCAAACTTGTCGGAAAGTAATCACTTCTAAAGTATTATCTAGTTATCCGTTTCTTTTGTTAATTTTTTCAAGTACTCTTAACCTTTCCGGTCTCACTTCAGAATATATCATGCCTCTATTACCCTGTTACTAGGTTAAAGCTGTTGCAGAAGAAATGGGAATTGGATTCTTAGGGATTGGTTTCCAGCCCAAATTGGGAATAAAGGACATTCCTGTCATGCCTAAGGTATAACTGACTACGTTTTATGGTTTTAAATCGAATAAAAAGTAGAAATAACATATTGTTTTATGAATGTAGTAAATGTCATGTTTTTTCTCATCTTTCACCTTTGTGATACCTGATCTTTTCTACTGCAATTTTATCATTCTATCATTTTATTATAGTCTGACCTAGTACTTTTGTTCAGGGAAGATATGAGATAATGAGAAATTACATGCCTAAAGTTGGCTCACTTGGTCTTGATATGATGTTTAGGACATGCACAGTTCAGGTAGGCAAATTTTACATTTCCAATTATCCAGCCTTTATGAAGATCCTTCTAACTTTTTCCCACCTCTATGATTTTTTATAATAGGTTAATTTGGACTTCTGTTCAGAAGATGACATGATTAGGAAATTTCGTGCTGGTCTTGCTTTGCAACCTGTGAGAACATTAATACTTTGTCTTCCACTGAATATATCTGCCTTGCTTTTCTTCTAACTAGTGAAGCAAATGAAACAGATAGCAACAGCTTTATTTGCAAATTCCCCCTTTACGGAAGGAAAGCCAAATGGTTACCTTAGCATGAGAAGGTTTTTCAATCTTTTACTATAATTTCATATTTCCGTATTCTCTTAGTTCATCCTTTTACTGATTTTTCTATAAAAAAATGAGTTTGAACAGTCATATCTGGACTGATACTGATAAGAACCGAACAGGCATGCTTCCATTTGTTTTTGACGACTCCTTCGGGTAAGCATTCTTCGTGTTGCTATACTGTGACAATTTAGATCCATTTGTCGTAAATCATCCCTTGTGTTTAGAGAATTTCATATGGTATTTTATTTCTGTGCTGCAGGTTTGAGCAGTATGTTGACTATGCTCTTGATGTTCCAATGTATTTTGTTTACCGGAAAAATAAGTACATTGACTGCACCGGAATGTCATTCAGGGTTTCCTTCTATCCTTGATATAGCCTTGTAAATTGAAGCTTCTTCTGTAGCCATTCTTTTTCACTCGTGTATTCACGCTGCTATATTGCCCCACATTCTTTTTCCACAAAATCTTGATAATTAGTTTACCTCAATTTTTTCCTGTCATAATATCATTGTTCATGTTTTAGGATTTTATGGCTGGAAATCTTCCATGTATTCCTGGTGAACTGCCAAACCTTAATGACTGGGAAAATCATTTGACAACTATATTTCCAGAGGTAATTGCTTAATTTAAAAATGATCTTAAACTTTGTTTATTCCATATGATTTTATGTTGTTTAATCCATATGATTCTTTGCATTCAGGTCCGACTGAAGAGGTACTTGGAGATGAGGGGAGCTGATGGAGGGCCTTGGAGGAGGTTATGTGCTCTGCCAGCATTTTGGGTAATTGGCCCCTTTTATCTGCTTATGCATAATCCCTTTGTTTGCGAATTATTTAGTAATACTTTGTAATGAAAATCAGTTTTTTGACAACATTGTAAAAGTTAAAAACACAATCAAGGCTGCTTGGCTTGGCCGAACATTTTTTCTTGATACATTTGGGGTAAATACAATGCAATATCAGTTCAAATACTCTCAACCATTTGACAATGAACGTTCATACCCTTAGCATTTGTGGTGCTCAAACCCGGGACCTCAAGGGATAACAACGAGTCCCTTAACCACTAGCTTGGTTGAACCTGAATAACATTGTTCGGCGTTTCCAGCTTCTGTTGGTCCACATCGACAAAGCTATTGAATTAACATGTGTTACAGTCCTTTTATTTTTTGGTGTTAGGTGTATTTAGTAAACTGTTTCAACATTGCTATTACAGCTATGTAGCTGACCTTAAGGGCTAAGTTTCTTGTTATGTAATTTTGATTCAACAGGGCATAGCCTAAATTATGACTTTGGACGTTTTCTTCATTCTCTTGACACGTTAAATTCTTAATCTAGTTGTGTTAATGCCTACTCTCTTGCTTGTTGAAATTACAAAACAGATGTTCGTTTCTTTCGGTTTTCAGGTAGGTTTGTTATATGATGAGGTTTCGCTCCAGAGTATCCTAGACATGACTGCTGATTGGACTCCCGAAGAAAGACAAATATTGAGAAGCAAGGTAATTAAAACATTTCCATAGCTAATAAATTTACACGTCCCTTTTGTAGGTGAAGAGTACTAGAAATTTTGTTCCATTTGTAAGGTTGAGATACGTGTATAAATCTCTTGATTTGTGCTTCTGTAGTACTAAAGAGTGTAAGATTGCATGTCTAAGTTAAAGATCTGTTTAGTAGGTTCCAAAGACTGGTCTTAAGACACCATTTCGAGATGGGCTTCTGTGGCACGTTGCTGAAGATGTTCTCAAATTGGCCAAGGTATCATACGACATGTCTTTCTCGTTTTTCCAATTTTACATTAATCCTAGATCTGGCATTACCATTTCTGTTGCTGCTTTGACAGATTTTATTTTAATGCTTTTTTTCAACTCGATCAATTATCCATGTAGGATGGCTTGGAAAGGAGAGGCTTCAAGGAAACCGGGTTCTTGAATGAGGTGGCAGAGGTGGTTCGAACAGGTACGCAATCGAGAGTTCACGTATTATTTAGGTTTCTTTCTGGTATTTCCGTTTGCGAGGAACTTAGAGTTGAATCAATTAGAGCTTTTCAAACCCCCCGTGTTCCTTTCTAATTATTAAACGAGAGGAGAACCAAATCTAAACCACGTGCCTCCCCATGTTACTCTGATTCTCCATTTCTATTTCTTCCATTAGACAGTCGGTGTATGAAACAAGTTCGAGTAATATGATTTTGTCTTGCCGTCGTGGCATGGCTATATTTGAATGCAAATTCATGGCAGGAGTAACACCAGCTGAGAGGCTCTTGGAAATGTATCACGGGAAATGGGGACGATCTGTTGACCCTGTTTTCGAAGAACTACTTTACTGAGACGAATCGGGAATCAAACTCTTAGAGTGCTGTGATTTCACGCATCGTCTTTTTTGTTGTAATTCGCTAAGTGAACTTCGGATGCACTTTATGTGATCTTTATGGAGGAATAAGCGATGCCTTGAACGGATGCATAACAAACTTTGTCCCAGTTTAGGGTTTTCATCACAACGTTTATGGTAATGTCGTTGCTGCTGCCTTTTAACAGTATATCTTCTTACCGTGGTAATTACATTCTTTTCTTGGATAATGGTAGTATAATTTAGAGGGGAGAGTTCCTCAGTGATGTTCTTTTTATGAGATATATTATCATGTTTGGTTTAGGTTCTTTATGGTAGGGCTGTAAATGAGACGAGACAGATCGCGAGCTACTCAAGTTTGATTCGGTCAAAGCTCGATCAACACTCAAATCGACTGAACTCGACTCCAGCTCGAACTCGACTCGAATTCTTAACGAGCTAAAACGAGCTACTTAATACTCGACTCGAAAAGCTCGCGAGCTACTCAAAAAAAAATATTATATTATAATTTTAGATTTTTTAAAATTACATTATTAAAAATATATTAAAATACATTATTGATAATTATAAATATAAGATAAGATTTTTGTAGGTTCAAATTCGAGTTCGAGCTTGAATTGAGCTCAAAATCGAGTTCAAGTCTCGAGCTTCAATCGAGTTCCTGAATTTTTTTTGAGTTCTAGCCTTTTCAAGTTCGAGTCGGATTTTAATATTATATTTCGAGTTAGAGCTGAGTTTGATAATTTTTTGCTCGCGAGTTTTCGAGTCGAATTCAGCAATACTCGAGTTCGAATCGGTTAGTTTACAACCCTACTTTATGGTGAGGGCTAATATTGTTTCTCTACTATAGTATCTTTTGGGGTAAAGAGTGGGAGTGTCATTCTCATTTTAATCTTGGTAGGTGTTAGACAATTTTGACCATTATAGACGAAATTTTCCCTTAAAAAGTGGGGTTTTTTTTTTAAAAAAAAATACGTTAACAATCAGGTACCTAGGCGAATAGATCATTTAAAGAAAAACAATAATGGATGAATAGTGATCTAAATTCTTCACGGTTTTACATCTTATCAATTCAATCTCCCTGATGTAATAATTTATATTCTATTTTAATTTCAATTAATTTTGTTTATTTATTTTTTTAGTCTCAGTTATAATTTTTTTATGTTAAGATTATTTAAATATTTTTTTATTTAATAAAGATATTTATTAGTCGTAATTTTTTTTATACGTATAATATTTTTTATCATAATAATCTACTATTTTTTGTAAATATTTTATATACATAATTAGTTTGAATATTTATAATTAAATAAGTATTTATTTAATTATTTAGTTATAAATATATAAATTATTATAATTAAAATATAACTAAAAGTTTATATTAATTCAATAACATTTTACATAAATATTTATAATTTAATATTAAAAATTTAATTTGTTTAAAAATATATATGATAAAATTAATGTGATAAATTATGCATTCAAATAATTTTATATTCTTCCGATTAATATTCTTAAGCCAAACAAATCAGTTAAAAAGTAATAAAGGTTTCACGAATCATACGTTCCCATAATCCGTAATTTTAGTATAACAAAACATTCTTATCGAAAACATGAAATTATTGTGCTAGTTTTTGTACCGTGTTAGTCGAGTTTAGAAACATTTCCCATCCCGTTGATAGTGTATTAAATACGTATCTCTTAGTTTGATAATAAATAAACATACAAAAAACAACCAGTTTAATCTCCAGATGAGCAAACCATAATCATCGGTACTGTACATAATTACAAGCATGGCGACTACTCTATTCACGCTTTCCTCTACAAATATATACTGTGTTCTCTATTCGTTTCTCCAAAGATCATTGCATTTGGGAAGCGTCGGTAAGAGTGAAAGCAAGGAGAGAGATTTATGGAGTCGCTCCAAAGCAAATTTTCAAGCTGATCACGGACCGGATCGAATCAAACCAAAACGAAACTGGTCGTGCAGAGTTGATTATATGTACTCGTCGTAACGCATGGTTTCTTTTGAGGTTTTAAGATGGTTCCCTTACCTGGAAACCGACAACTTTGTCAAACGGATGGTCATCTTCGGGTTGATCGGAGAGGCGATTTATTTGGGCTTCGGTTGCGGTCAAGAAGTTGCGTTCTTTTTGTTTTCAAGCCCGGTACCCTCCTTGAGAGCGACTTGTGCCTCGTCCTCTTTCCCTAGAGCTAATAGAGAAGCAGCTTGCAAGTAGGATGCAATATGCCAAACAGGAGATATTATCTGTGCTTGCATAGCATCATTGAGGGCCTCCTGGGGCATTTTGTTCATGAGGTACGATAAACTCCGTCGAGCATAAACCGTTGGGGAAACCATGGTTCCAACATCAATGAACTGTGACATGAATGTACAAACTGTTGGGTCAAAGATCTACTTTTGAATGTCCTTCGCAAAACTAGACAATTTCCCAAAATTACATCTTGATAATTTTTAGGACACAAATGCCGCTAATATGAGGACATTTTCAGTCCGGATGATGCAGTAAAAGATACAATAATGCAGCAGAAAAGTTGCTAGGTTGTATGAAATAAACGGCAAAATCTACTGGCTACCTCGATATGCCTCCTAAAAAAGGTCCGACTTAGCAAGAAGACGTGTGTAAATTATTTGAAATTCAGAGGACAATAGTAAGCAAATTCTAACCTGGGTATAGTATTCAATGGCAGCTGTGAAATCTTTATGCCTAAAAGCAGCATCACCCTTTTTCTTCGATGTCAATGTTTCCTGCATCTGGTTCGTCCACATCTGGAATGAAAGCTGCAAGCCATAAAACTAGCAGTGAGAAAAGCAGACACTGGACAGCTGAAACAAGCAAGCTAACCTGAAATACTAATTCTATGCCATTGACAATAACCACTCTTGGCCTAAACCACTAACACGATAAACAGGCGTAGCCCCATCTAAATTTAATATTGTGCATTAACCACCTCAAACCCACAAAAGAGAAGGATAAAAATATTCAAACTCAAATCATGGTTATATCGACAATTTTAATCACAACTGTGAAAATGATATATACGAGTCGTTATCCTTGCCACAGCAACCACAAATTAAAGTAAAGAAAATCAAAACTAAATTGTGATGACTGATTAGAAATGGCTAAAGTTATTTTTTTGTCTTTTTGGTTTGTGGGTGGGGTCGTGGGGGAAGGACATATACGCAAGGCTGAATGGGGATTTTATTCTTGGACCATGTACCTTTCCCTGAGAGGTAATCGTCACTCCAGTTCAGGCTTGATTAGTCAAGTCTATAGGAAAAAAGAAATCATTTACTTGACAGACGAGAAACATACCTCGGTAGCAGTACACTCATCATCTTTATATCCAAGGTTTTCTAAGACCTCATGAATGGCAGTCAAATCCATTCTTAAGCAGGATTCTCCAAGTGGTGTCAGAGGTACGGCATCAGCCCCATTACGTATGCCCATTAATACATAAGAAGGAACCTTCAAAATTAATTGAAAAAAAAAGGAACTTCTCAGTATCAGAAAAACAATACTCAGCCTTGAAACAGATAAGACCCTGTTAATCTTTGACTAAACTGGCATCTACATCTATTTGGACTTTGGAGTTGATATAATAGTACATGTTATGAAGGAAGAGCAACTGCATCTGCCTTGCTTATATGGAATGAACAATGAGAAAAAATAGACATAAAAGTCATAGAATGAGGATTTGTCTCTACAGACCAAACAGACAAATCAAAAGAAACTATAATTCCTAATAAGAGAAGAAAAGTTAGGGAATAGAATATGTCTTTCTATGGAAGCTCTATATGGACAAGTAATTTGAGAGAGTTTGAATTTAGGAAATAATAAAATGAAGTTACTTGAGAAATAAAAGACAAACAACCTCAGCATCCCTCTGAAGAGGAATTATTGCAGAAACTAATGACTTTGGAATTGGCCGTTCACGGGGTTCATATTGCAAACATCGTGAAGCTAAACGTACTAACTCAGTCCCATCATCATTTGAAAATTGCCCTTCCAAACAAGAATCTATCAGCATCTGGATGTTCCTGTCACGTATAAGGTCCAGCGCCTGAACGAAGTGATACAAGTAAATATTAGGTGCACCGCAGTTGGCATAACTACACCGTCCTAATATGGGAAAAACAAGCAAAAAATTATTTTGGCGGGGCACAAAGTGCCATTCCCACAATAACGCACCCTCAAAACAATAATAACAATGAAAAGAATAGCTTATAAAGTTTTATTCCATAAAAAATATATTAATATTGACAGGAAACAGCTTAAGTGGTACCATTAATAGGTTCCGGTTTGAATCTTAACAACAGTCCAGACAAACCAGAACCGCTGTTCAGAGTTAAATTGTATCTCTGAATAAAAACCATCAAAAACATTAACTTACAGTCCAAAAATTAACAAGCACGGTCCTTAATCACAGTCCAAAAATTAACAAGCACAGTCCTTAATCACAAATCAAGTTTCAAACAGGTACAATATATAAGACATGTTACCTTCTACATGTCGGACAAATGACAACTTCATAGATAGATAATACAAGGAAACTAGTATTTTTCAAGAAATCTGTTGCATCAGATGTCTTTAGTATACTTACGTGACTTGGAGGAATATGTTTTCCACTGAGAAGATCAAGAAGAAGGGTGCCAAAACTATAAATTACACTTTCTGGTGTTACTCTACCTGCGGACACAAGAACAATTTAGACTACTGAACTCCAAAAGGATAAGCGACTGATATTGATATTCCTATCATAAAACCGGATGCAAATACAGTGTAATAACAAAGTTCAGGGAGCCACACAACTACAGAGGAGAGAGTGAAAAGAGTCAACAGATATTAACACATCTTTAATCTAATAATTTCTATTTTCTAAGCAGAATTCGGCCACAAAATAGTATAAAGCTATATCTCCTAATGAAATGATACCTTCTTCAAATCTGCTTGTTTTATAAATCAACATAAAATTACCTAGATTAAAAATTACTAGCATGAAAAATTGAAACGAAAATAACATGTAACATGAAGTGATGGTAGATTACACAACTAGAAAAAAAAAACCAATGAGAACAAAAAAAAAGGTCAGACAAAAATATTATGTAACAGCTTCGATATTCAACAGTCAAGTCCATAAAAGAGGATTAGCATGCGTGTAAAGAAGCTTATCGTTTTATTAAAGAGGATAAGTACCTGTCCTCAAATACTCTGGAGGAGTGAATGCCAAGTTCGTGCTGTAACTTTTTCCATCCCTGCTGTTCTTCATTAGTCCGAAACATGAAAGTCTAGGGTTTCCCTCCTGAAGTTAATTTGCATAATAACCAATTAAGTCATTATTTACTAACAAAGTGGTTGTAATTTAGTGGTAAGAAATCCACGTTGTGGCCGTGGAGATCTGGACTCGAATCCCAGCAGCCACATGAAGTTAGATTTTCCTTTAATAAAAAGTTTTGGCTAGTTTTTCCTTTTCTTTAATAAAAAGTTTTGGCTGAGTAAATTAGAAAAAAAAATCATAGAAAGAAGAAAATGTTAAGAAACATACGTCATCGAAACCAATTCGATATGCATTTAGGTCATGATACAGGGCACGTCCTTTGCTGGTGCAGTATTCTAGAGCTTCTGCAAGATGTAAAGCAACCCTTAGTCGCATTGCCCATTTCAACGGTTGTGCTTCCCCTGTAAACCCATAGGTTCAATATGAATGTGAGTCTGAAATAACCATTCCTTTTACAATGATCCAGATATAAGAAAGAAGACAGAAGTACAAACTAAAGATTTCAAAAAGGAGAGAACCATATTACAGCTGATATTAACAAGTTATAGATTTATATCAACAAAATAATTGGAAACAGAAAACAAAATATAAACTAAATTCCAAAGCTGAAGCAAGGGAACCAAACATGAACTTACAATGGAATAAGTGTTTTGCCAATGTGTCATTGTTCATAAATTCTGCAACAAGTAACCTTTCATCTCCTTCACAGCAACAACCAAGTAAAATAGCCAATCTGTGGTTCCGAAGCTGACCAACAGCTCTTGCCTCTTCCTAAAGTTAAAGAATCTGAAGTCAGAAGTCATGAGTTTTCTATTGTAATCTAGAATATTATACCACATTGAAAGCAATTTTACACTATAAATATAATGATAGCAGGAAGATATAGATTCTTGTTAGAATGGGTAGTCATGAAGGTTACCAATAAGAGTTATTATGGAAGACATACATAAAACATATCAGCATCAGAACTTAAAGAAACAAATCCCTTTAAGATGACAAAAACTCTCAATGAACTTAACTTCATAAGTTCAGAGTCTAATACTATAGAAAGGCTTTTCCTTTTCCTCTGCAGAAATGATTGATGAACACTTGGGGAAAGACTGGCATGAAATCTTGAAAAGAACATACTACGAATTCAGCATTTGCTTACCAAGAACTGGTGGGCATCAGGCCATGCAGACCTATTAAATCGTTTAACAGCAATCAGCCTTTGATTTTCCAACTTGCCCTTGTAAACTACATTAGGAGCCTTCTCACCATGTTCTGAAACTATATTCTCCACAGCGAATCCAGATGTAGCCATCTTGAGTGTTTCAATTGAGTATTCACGGAATGCAGGTAAACCATCAACTTCACCCTTTTTCGCACTTTCTATAAAACAACATAATTTAGTATTAAAATCAGCCTCTATTAGCATGATTATAATTAATAACGAAACTCACTATTCATACTTACCAACATTAGCAGCTTCAGGAATTGATCCATTCGGACCAAACCTCCAACAACACTCTAATTTCGAACACCCACAGCCCATCCTACACCTCAATGGGATTTCTTCAAACGGTAGGAAATCAATGGAGATTCCAAAGTAATACAAACTTTTTGTATGTTTTTAATATTTACACTCAACTTCATAAATGAACTTCATCGAAGTAATTTCAGTCTTATACCCATTTTGACCAGATATCCTTTTATTTTTCAAAATTTCTGTTCAAATCAAAACCTCAATGGACCTGCAGCATAAGAATTTGAATTCAAATATGCCACTAACGAACCAATCATAAAACAGAAGTTTATTAAAAAAAAAAAACAGAAAAAGAATTCGAATCTTATAAATGACATTCAATTTTATTCTCCCACTGAAATCTAAAACCTAGAATCAAACCATTGATCCTATTTGAAACCTCGCCGTTTTACTAGCCGAGATTTCCGTTCCATTTCAACTAAACAAAAATGAAACAAGGAAAATCATTCCGTTTAATTCAACACATATCTCTCGAGTAACTTTCTGACAGCCAAACAACCAAAAAAGAAAAGAAAAAAGAAACAGAATAAAAGATACCTTTAGCAGCATCGAGTTCCAACCGTTGAGTCAAGTGTCAACTCACTTCCCCCCTCTTTAGTCAATTAAAGCTTAGCTTCAGAAAAGCTTCACCTTCTCTGTAACTTCAAAACAATTCCTCTAATCAAATCAAAGCTTAAAAAAGGCTAAAGTTTCCGAAGAACCTGAATCAGCCGAAGAGATTCTTGACTCTCTCAGAAGAAGAAAACAAAATTCAAAGCTATTTTCTCCATGTTTTATATTTATATCAGATTCTAAACGATATTTTCTTCCCAGAAAATGAAATATGTCCTAAGAATCGGCGATCGTTGGAGCTTCTTCAGCGTTGGATAAATATTTATCCAATTTAATAAAAATAAATAAAATTAACATGAGATTAAAAATTTTATTTATTTTCCACCGAATTTATTCTATTTATTTTCCACGCCTAAGTCGCCATAATCAATTGCCCATTATCGGAAAGTTTGTGTTAACATCTTTTCTTCGTCGTATATTAAGTTATCGCTCGTGAGATTTTTTCTTTTAAAAAATAGGAAGAAAGGCAATAGGTGTATAAGTCTCGCGTGTGGCAGACTAATATACGGTTAAGGAAATATGTTATTAGAAATATTATTATTTTTAAATATTTTTGATAAAAAATACCTAAAATATTATTATTTCTATCGAAAATATTATTATTGGACGTTTTACCGTGTTTGTTAACATATACTGTAAAACGTTACCTAAAACATTATTTTTTTCTATCAAAAATATTATTATTAAGCGTTTTACCGGAAATGTTTAAAAAACATTAATGTTTTAAGTAAAAAATAATAATGTTTTATATAATTTTTACCAGAAATGTTAAGAAAATAATAACATTTCCGGTAATGTTTTTCCTTAATCGTATATTGAGGTTGCCGTATGATAGAACTTCCTTTTGAAAATAATTCGAAAATTATTATATTTTTAAGGTTAGAGGATATATTATGGGTGGATATTAAAATTAACCACCATGTTTTGTATTCATTTAAATTTATTATTTTATTATCTCAAATCTTGAGATGTAACTAAGAATTACATGCACGAACTAACTTATTTCATTGATTAAAAGAATCGTTGTTGTTTTTAGAGGTCACAAGTTCGAAAATCAACGATTGCAGCAGGATGATTGAGAATATTTAAAATAAATATTACTTTATAATTACCTTAACTTAAAAAAATTAAGAATTATACAAATTTTGAATTTAATTGATTTTGATCTAATTTTATTTGATAAAATATTTTTCCTGAAAATTCAAAATATAGGGTGGTCTCTTCAAAGATCAGTCGTGTTAATTTTGGTTTGATTCAAGATAATTATAGAAAATATTTATATATATATATATATATATATATATTTATATATTATTATCTAACTTTTTTTTATAAAAATACACGTAAATTTTTTACTGATATTTTTATTACTCGATTTAAAAAATAGTAATAATTAAAATAAAATAATTGTTTAAATGTGACAAAAAATTGAAATTTTATTTTAAAAATGATATTAGTAGGGATGAAGATGATTAAGACAATCATCGTCTTATCATTTTTAAATTATCATATATTTTATATATATTTTTTAATTGATAATCATAGAACTTCTATGCTTGTATTACAGTAAAAAAAATGTCCTAAACATCAAGTTCCTATCACTTTCACATCGACGTGTGTCTAACTATCATTTTTGTTGGAAAATTAACAGATTCTATAAAATAATTCTATTGAAAATGATTTTTTGACATTTATTTATTTTATCAGTGGGAAAAAAACCAATTCATTGTACAAACCAATCCTCGACATATTAGGGATCAATCATCTCTTGAAAGAAGGGAGGTGAGAAAATATCATCTCAACCTATAAAGGTCAATAATGGAAGAGAAAATCGCCTCAGTGACCAAAAAAAAGTTATAATATACGATTTTAACCAATTTTTTTTGGATTTGCCAAAATGACCAACAAAAGCGCAACGCGAAATAACAATCGCAACGCGATCCCCAGAATCGCAAATCAGTTTCCAAAATCGCAACGCGATTCTTGAAAATCGCAATGCGATAGTACAAATTCGCATTGCGATTTTCCAAAATCGCAACGCGAACACATAAATCGCAACGCGTATCCGTAAATTGCAACGTGTATCCGTAAATCGCAACGCGTATGGGTAAATCGCAATGCGTATCCGTATATCGCAACGCGTATCCGTAAATCGCAACGATAATACATAAAATCGCAACGCGTATCCGTAAATCGCAACGCGATATTTAAAGCGCCATTATAATCGCTACGCGTATTTTATTTTCAAATTACAAAAACGAATATTAAGACAAAATCCCGTAATCGCAACTCATAACCTAAAACCTAAAATCACAACTCAGTCCCATCTCCATCTCTCACTCTCTACGGCGAAGAAATCCGTCCCCATCTCCGAAGATTTCCGTCCCCATCTCCGGCGAAATCCCTCACAACCATTCACGGTCAGAAATCCCTCACAATATTCAGAAATGGAAAATCAACCTCCGAGGGTTAGTTTTTTTAATTATTTTTATTTTGAAATGTTTGCATTATTGTAGGTTTTTCATATTGAAACTGATGATAAGTTACTGGTCATTTCAATAATAGATTAACCATTTCACTTAGATTTCATTTCGTTACGATTCTGTCGTTGCGATTTTCATTTCGCGTTGCTATTCTCTCGTTGCGATTTTCAAGTTAGTATTGTCTTGTCTTTGTTTTTTGGTTGAAGTAATGCAATCCATTCAAGTTTCAATTTGCAGAAGTCGCAACGAGATAAATGAAAATCGCAACGAGAGAATGACTGTCGCAACGAGAGAAATGAAAATCGCAACGAGAGAATCGCAACGCGAAATGAAAATCGCAACGAGAGAATCGCAACGCGAAACCAAAATCGCATTGCGATTTTCATTTCGCGTTGCGATTCTCTCGTTGCGATTGTCATTTCGCGTTGCGATTCTCTCGTTGCGATTTTCATTTCAACCAAAAGACAAAAGTGTTGCAAATTTTAGTTTCAAGAATACTACTTTTTATGTTTATTGTTTTTGGTATATCTTCACAGTGTTTTTTGGTATATAACTTGGTATGTTTATTGTTTTGTAGAATTTTTTCGGCTCAATTGACCTTGAGAAATAAAGTCAGCCTGGCCACTACAATTGCTTCGAAGCTTTCACCTGCTCAAAGACAATTGTTTGAGGAAACCTGCTTCGGGCCATGGCTGAGAGTACAGCATCCGGGTGGAGATGCTAATTGACCCATTTGTGGCTTCAGACCATGACATCAAATCTACCCGACAGTATACAACGTGGTGAGGAAGAGATATGGTTTCATTTTCCACCAGCGTATACTTGTTTTGGGCGGAAGGAGTTCTGCTTAATCACTGGTCTACGATTCGGACACGATGATGTAGGCCGGTACACTCGTCATATCGCCCGCCCATCATGGTTATCCGGGTTTTTCCGGATGAGTCAATGGAGAAGCCGAACCTACATGTCGACGACCTGAAGAAATTGTTTAATAAGAAGTGGTTTCACTCGGATGGATGACGTCGATGTTGTCCGAGTATGCCTTCTACTACTTGTGTATGCCGGCTTTTAGGCAGAGAGGCCAGACAACCTATTCCTCGAGAGCTAATAATTGGTAGAGGACCTGAATGCATGGAATCTGTTTCCGTGGGGTTCGTATATGGAAAGCTACCTGGACTAAGTTGTCGTCTGCCTTTGATGACCGCAAAAGTTTGCGGGGCGATGGGTCCAAATACACTTTGTCAGGCTTTGTTTGGGCCTTTAAGGTAAGAATTTCTATATAATGTTTCTAAAATTATAATTAATTATTTAACAATTACTAATTTTGTTATTATATTGTTTGTAGATTTGGATATTCGAGGCTTTCCCCATGCGTACATATGCAATAAAACGTCAAATGATATTCCAGGGCTATTTCCTGGAAGAGGAAAACTCTGTTGGATTGGGAAGACTTAATACCATATGCGACAATAAATAATGTAAGTTAACACAAATACTTTCATATAATATATAAACAAGTTATTAATGTAGACGTTTAACTTTGTTGAGTTTTTATATTTTAGGAGGCCAACATTCCATTACAAAGACTGACACCCACGGAGGAAGAGCTTGCACTGATTGGTGGCAAGCTAGTCAGAGTTTTTTTGATGGCACGGATGATGAGCAGCATCCATTCCTCCAATTCGAGAGCCATCACCACCTAGAGCCATCACCGATCGACCCACTATACACCTCTAGAACGAGAGCCATCACCTATCCCGTCACATCATCGAGCCTCTTCTCCACCATCACCTCATGATAGGCGACCGGCAAAGATGCCACGACTCCTATCTCCTGTTCTCCACCTCCACTCACGGGATGAGTCAAGGAGTTACGTGATGGTCAATGCCTTGCGTGAAGAGATCGGTACTCTACGCGATAACGATGGTGCATGGCGTGTGGAGGTGTCAACTTTACGTGGTGAGGTTGCCGCTCTACGTGAGATGATAGTATCGTTGCAGAATGAGGTTCATACTCTACGCAACGAGGTAAGTTAAGATTTTCCATATTTAACTTAATGATAAATTTACTCGTAATTTCACTTAGATTAGCCATTTCACTTAGATTGCTTAGTAATTTATTCGGTTGCTGCCAATCTGCTAAACTGTGTATTCTTTAACACTGTGAAATAGTATTTGTCTTTGTTTTGTCTTTGGTTGAAAGTAAATTTGTTCGGTTGCTGCCAATTCTGCTAAACTGTGTATTCTTTAACACTGTGAAATAGTATTTGTCTTTGTTTTGTTTTGGTTGAAAGTAAATTTGTTCGGTTGCTGCCAATTCTGCTAAATTGTGTATTCTTTAACACTGTGAAATAGTATTTGTCTTTGTTTGTCTTTGGTTGAAGTAATGCAATCCATTCAAGTTTCAATTTGCAGAAGAAAATAGTTTACTTTCGCAACACGAAACTTAAAATCGCAACGCGAAACCAAAATCGCAACGCGAAATGAAAATCGCAACGACAGAATCGCAACGCGAAACCAAATCGCAACGACAAGATCGCAACGCGAAACCAAAATCGCATTGCGATTTTCATTTCGCGTTGCGATTCTTTCGTTGCGATTTTCATTTCGCATTGCGATTCTGTCGTTGCGATTTCATTTCGCGTTGCGATTTTGGTTTCGCGTTGCGATTTTAAGTTTCGTGTTGCGAAAGTAAACTATTTCTTCTTCTGCAAATTGAAACTGAATGGATTGCATT